CCTAGAAATACTCCAAAGATGTTTTATTCAGTGTCTTCACCATATCATTTCCTTTGCTGACATCATAATAATGAGAATTTTTAAGTAACTAATTACATCAACAGGTAAAATTCTTTATTTCAAACTAAAGAAAATAGAAAGAAAAAGAAGTTAGAATACATAAGGGAAAAGTACTTCATGATCAGGTCTCTTATCATGGCCTATTTGATTTATAAATATAAAACAAACCCATTTGTGTTCTAGAGCTGCAGCTAGTCCAGCATTCTTTGTTGTTCTCCCACAACGTAAAAATCATCAAAAAAGCATTGTTTCCATGAGGATACTACAGGATTTTAGGTGCATTATGGTTTGAAATGTATAATTGGATAGGAACTGTCAACCTTAGTCAAGGGAGGTGATTGACCTGCTCTGCTTTGCACTGGTGTTGCCTCACCTTGAATATTGTATGCCTTTTTGGGCACTGCAATACAGGAAAGATATTAAGCTCTTAGAGAGTGTCTAAAGGAGGGCAACTAAGATGGTGAAAGGCTGTGAGGGGAAGCCATATGAAGAGTGGCTGAGGTCATTTGGTCTGTTCAGCCTGGAGGAGACTGAGGGGAGAACTCATTGCAGTCTATGACTTCCTCATGAGGCTAAGCAGAGGCGCAGACACTGATCACTTCTCTAGGGTAACCAATGACAGAACCCAAGGCAATGGCCTGAAGTTGTGTCAGAGAAGGTTTAGCTTAGATATTAGAAAAAGCTTCTTCACCCAGAGGATGGTTGGGCATTAGAACAGGCTCCCCAGGGAAGTGGTCACTGCACCAAGTCTGGCAGAGCTCAAGAAGCATTTAGATGATACTCTCAGGCACATGGTGTGACTCTTGGGGATGGTCCTATAACAGGGCCAGGAGTTAGACTCAGTGATCCTTGTGGATCCCTTCCAACTTGGCACATTCTGGGATTCTGTGATTTTCACCTCCATGTGATCTTCCTATATAACATAGCCAAGTCCAAGGATTTTACTGATGAAAATTGATTGTATCACGACCATCCAAAGAGATAGCAACAATGTAAAACAGGCAAGCATATTAATATCCAAGACATCTCAAAGTCAGCTTTTGTCCATCCGGCTCTTTAGAACATCATCTTAGTAAAAGCATCTCAACAACTGTCAGCACCAGCTATATATTAAGGTTCTACTTTCAAATTTTGACTCAAAATGTCCAGGTTGCAAGTGTAGATCATATTGTAATAGAAGTTGTTTTCCTTTACTAGTTACAATGTATTGTTCAAATTAATTTTTTTTACCCTGCATATATTCTTGTAACACGCTCTAAACAATCTTACTCTACTGTGTGAGAATCACATGCTGTATGAGAGCCAAAATGTGCTTTTCATCATAACTTCCCTTCATTGCATTTCACTGTGTGGCCACTTACCTGACATGTGCCTAGAAAGCACTGATTGTATTATTACCATAGAGGGAGAAGAAAGGTCATTGAGCATACTCTAAAAGACTTTATATTCCTAACCATTATTAGCATTACTTTTATTCTAGATGTTGCTATCACATGGTAAACACACTCTAACATTTATGTAAAAATTCCGTGATCCTTTCCAGGAGTCCCAACAACACAGAAAAAATTACTACATCTGAAGGTCTTTGAAGACACACACACAAAATCTGACATATATATGTAGATATATAAAAATATAAATATATATTACATAAATAAATATATTTTATATATTTTATATATTTTATATTAAAAACCAGATTTTATGTATATATAAAATATCATTTAACCTTGGATTTCGGTAAGATTTGTTACAAATAAAACAAATGAGAGAAAAGAATTTAAGAGATAGGATCAAAACAGAGACTCAAGCCTTGCTACTGTTGCCTTTCGCTGTTAATCTATAAAACTATAAAAAACTATACCCTAAATATTTTTAGCAACTGCCACATCTTGTTTATTTTGTGAAGTCAGAATAAGAACCAGGGTAAATGTGAGCATTTGCTAACAAGGAATAACTTGCAAAGTGCATTTTCCATTGTTCTTTTTGTTTTAATCAGACTTTTATCCTGATCCCATGAAATAACATTATTAAACAGTTGCCTATTATTTTGATTAATTGAATTAGATCACGTGGAATAACATTAAAATGTTGTCCCAAGTATTCAGCTTAGAGTAGGAAAACTTGGGAGTACTAGAGGGGAAAAAAACCTGAACCTATAGCCCAGTGTTTCTCCCTCTCACAAACAGGTAGTTACTCTGGATATATATTATTAAGGACCAAAGCAAGTAGTTTCTTAGGCTGTCTTCAGTTCTCTGCTTGAAAAATTCACTAACCAATGTAATTAATCATCTAACTGTTCCTTCAGGTAAGTGAAAGCAATACAGTACAAAGCATTTTTAAAGAATGTGAAGCATGCATTGAAAAAATAATATATCAACAACAGTGTTGACTTTGGAGACTGTATTTTTTTAATGTAATGTAGTTGTATCTGTAGTATCTTTATATTTTGCTTTTACAGGCAATTTGTTTTGGCTCCTCTTTCTTTTTTAGAACCATCATTTAATAATGGAATCATAATCATCAATGATAAAATCAAAATAAGAGCAAGTCCTTTGATAAGGCTGTGTCAATCTGTATGATCATGTGTTAATGTGATATAAACTACCTTCTCCTATTATTCATTTGAACCCAATTTAAGACCTGAAGTCAAAGGAAAATTCCTCTCTGGTTACCAGCCAGGTCTATATTAAGACTGAATACTTTCCTGAAATTATATACCCATACCAGGTCCCTAAACTCTGAGATCTGCAAATTTTGCCAGAACATAACCATTTAATTATAAAAGAAAGTTCCATTGTGCCTCAACAGTGACCACACTCTATGGTGCTGCAGCACACAGCCTGTGAGGTGAGGTCAACAACAATTTCCTCTGTTATAAAAAATAAGGTGTGCCACTTGCATCCCTGAAAACATAGCAAAATTGCAAACCTGATTCCCCAGCTGGATAAAGCTTTCACCCAATCAATCTAATTTTTACAGTGGTTCAAAAGCCATCTGCTTTAAAAGAAAAAGTAATGTTGCAATACTGTGTTAAGGATCTGATCTGGCTCTCAACCATGCTTAGGTCAACTCGCTGTTTCATGGGTCTCATAGCTAGGCAAGATTACTCAAATATGTTGTAGACTTGAAGAAAAGGCCAGCAATGAACAGAATATCTGCCATGTGTGCACCTACTTTGCTTTATTCACTTCAGCTTGACCTTCACAGCTTCTATGTAAGGCAACCATTTTAACTGGCTTTCACTCATGATTTTTGTTTTTTTTTTTTTACTTTTTGTCTCTTTTTTTTTCTTTTAAAAACAGAAGGAAAGCCTCTCACATGCATACCTTCCATCTTATCTGAGCATGATACTGATCACAGAATATGGTCTGCTGCAGACAAATTCTCCAAGAGCCAGTCAGCCACACAAAACCAGCATATTCAATATAACACCCTATGCTGAATTTAACAGCATTAAAGAATAAGACTCAGCACATGCCAGAAGCTCTTCAAGTAGCTGAGAAGACAACTTTGCTCTATGCTACAGGAAAAGTAATTTAAATCCATCAGTTTTGCCACAGTCAAAAAAGTTTATGTCAAATAGGGAGCAGAATAAGTGAGTATCATCTTCTCTCTGCTAGGAATGTTACCAGTAAATGCACTGTAACTAGGTCTCAAAGCTAGAATTGAATTTTGTTTGTTTTTTGTTGACTGCTGAACAAAAGGCAAGATCTTTAATGGATATGTTGTGAACAAATTTCTGTATTTCAAAGTGGGTTTTTTTGGTTAACCCACAATGCTTTTCACTATTTCAAAAATCAAAATATTTTTTTTTCATTTCTTTTATTGTTAGCCTATTTACAAGGCATACTTCCTTAAGTGAGGAGTTCATTACATATGTCATTTTCATTACATTAGGAAAAACCTCCTAAGACTTGTAAATAGCTGTTTCTAATAGCATCTGATAGCACCATGAGGCACAGACTAGGATCATGGCCAATGCAAAGATATGATCCACGTGGTCCGTTTATCATCAAGATAATCATTTAAGGACACCTTTTGCATTTTCACCACTCTTAAGCAAATGGGATCTACAAAGGAATAAACAATCAGAGAAATAAAATCAAACTTTGTATTCAAAAACATGGCAACTACTCTCTTACGGGTTCTACACATTCCACGTGGAATAATACCAGACGTGCAGTCCTCAAAAACAGTACTTTGATATGACTGTAAAGAATCACCTTCCACAGGGTTTTGGAAACACACTCTATGTTCTCCTCAGCTTACCCAGTCTAACCTCTTCTCCATCCACTCCAGTTGCACTATTTAACCTGGGAAAGTGGGATTTATACAGAGACCTGTATGAATCAACAACAACAAAAAATCCCTTCAAAAAAAACAATGATCTTGGTTCAACCATATGGTTGTTAAAGTAACCCTGAGGGGAATAAGAAAACCAAATTTAGAGATAAGGAAGACTTAAAATATTTTGTTCAGCAAACAGAAGAGAGATAATATTAAGGGGGAGACTGGAACAGAAAAGTGGAAAAAAGCACGGAAACTCACTTTTGCTCTCAGCCTCAGCCTTTCCCAACTCTTTTTGACAAACCATGCCAGGGAGAGACTGCTTCCATTGCTGCTTGCTTTTCCTGTAAGAAGTTTAAACATTGGAATTCCACCCAGCCGATAAATTATGTAACAATGTTAAGAATACATATTTTATTTTTTTAAACTATAGTAAAATCTCTGCCGAATTTTGTAGTAAAAGACCTTGGAGAAAATGTTTGTGGTTCATTTCCTGTGCAAACATGGTGAAAAATGAATGAAAAAGACAGTGGAGCAGCATTAAAAAAATACATAAATGATTAAATTTTTGAACATCACACCCATCAGTTGTCTAAAAAGGAAAACATATATGAGAAGTAACAGTGCTGTAAAACAACCAAAGACACATATACAGACATTTGGGTTTTATTTTTATAAAAAGTTCAGATTTATTAGTGCCAATGTATGTTCATAGTAAGGAAACAAAAACTAAGCTAATCTGAGTAGCAACTTACATCAAAGGATATCAAAATAATATTTCTTGTAAGTGAAACATAATACTTCATTTAAACCTGATTCTTGCCAACTAGAAGTCCTTGTTATCTGTCTATGAAGCCTTTAAAGAAAAGTTGCTACAGTCAAACAGGGTCCTGATAGAACTTGGCACATAAAGAAACAATTCCGTTTTCACCCATACAATACCTCTCACTCCCCTGGAGCACTCATTCATACAATACTTACATAATGCATATACATTATGACTAAAGTCATGTATGGCCTAAAGCACATAGAATATCTCAGTTCTAAACGCAACATGTCTCTACAACAAAAGCAGGTCACTGTATTTACAGCAGATGATCTTGCTCTGAAGATGGGGCTTTTGCTTGAAGATCCTTTTGTTAATGTACTTTAAGATGACCGAGTTGTCCAATTATTTATCAAATTAGAGGTGTATCTACAGGAAGATCTGTCTGATCGTGTGCAAGGATTCTAAGGCAATAGTAGTAGTTGTTCCACAGGAATAGCGCTGCCATTGCAACCCACTTTCCCTCGGAGCAGTAAAGCCTTCCTTTTCCAGATGCAGCCAGGTATAGTGAGACATTCATGATCTGCAAACTGTTGGCTCAAAAGTCTAAAACTTCTTGGTTTGTTTTTGTTTTTAATGTTCATGGAATAGCACCATAGGAATTCACTCTCGATATCAAACTAATCCTGGGTCTGTTGTTCTATTTTGCTTGTTTAACCATCACGGATATACTTACTCTCAGAAAAAAACCCTGTCTTTGGGAAACTTTCCTCTTGGATACTATTACAGCTTCATGTCTGAGTAGCTAAACCAGGCATATAGCTCATTCACAAAAAGGTTTGAAGAAATAAAGCTTAGCAGTATTTTCAAATGTACTGCTGAAAACAAATTCAGTAGGAGGAGTTCCAGATGATCCTTGATTATTTCTCTTTTGCATGGATATTGATTTTGATTCAGGACAGGTCTTCAACTCAGTCTCTTTCTATATTCAGTGCAAAATAAGAGCACATCATCAGAGATAGCTTACTTAACCAGTAAACCAAGCATTTTCAGATGCTTAACTCTTCAAATTCAGTCAACCAGTGATTGATCACTAGGGATGACTGATGTAACAGTTCAGACTTCTCAGTTATTAGTAAAACAAAATACTCTATAGATCAGTTATGTTTCAGAAGTAGGATTTTCCAGTTTAAAACACTGATAACCTGATATGACAGATGAATTTGTAAAAAATACAGAACAATGAGGGAAGACCTTCCCATTTCATATCTTCTTTCAAGTCCTTGTACACACTCTATGCAGGATACAAAGTCAAAGCAACTAGATAGGAGGACAGTATTCTGAGTGTGTGACCTAAAAGAACTTTTTTTTCCTCCCAGACACCACACAATTGTCAGAAGGAGGAACAGTCTACAGGGTCACTTCCCTTGAATGCAACTGATTGAATCTGCACGCAGTTCTGGCAAACGTCGAACCATTAACAAAAGCTTTTATATTCTCCCTGCACGCACAGTCCTTTCACAAGCTCTGCAGAGACAGTCAAGTATGGAGCCTGAACATCATCATCTTGACTATTCCACTGGGATAGGTGATTTTGTTCTTATATTTTATTTAAGTCTCTGGTCTTGTAAGTCGGCAATTCAATTGAACTTATATTAAACATTTGTGCTAATAACTTCAATTAAAAAAAAAGACACGCCCTCCTTCTTTTTACTGTGCGTTCTTACTTTCACACTCTCCTTTTCTGACAGAGAGGTTCTTGTGTTATTTTTTGGTGTGCACACTATCTGGATATTTTATACTTCTGTATCGTATATGAAATCCTTTCTTGTTGATTGTATCATCAGTGTGAAAGTGAAGTAGAAGAGCTTCTCCAGCTGAGTAAATTTCTTCTGGTGGCTAAAATAAATTAATAAGAAAATAATTTACCTCTCCACTCTGTGTATTTATCCCCCTCATTCACATGTTTTTCTTACGCATATTTCTCTTTTCCTGATATGCATCATTGTGTAATTCCACTGTGTCTTCCATGATGCTATCTGACATCATCAGACAGAATACTTCTATCTTATTCAGTTCTCCGTTATAGGCTAGGAATTTATTTATCTAGGTAAAGGGTATATGTATGAAAGTGTGCTTGCACTGGCACATGTATAAAGAATTGATGAGGACTTGTGGGATCATTGCACCAGCTTTCACAATGAAAGTCTAAAAGGAGAAATAGGACAAAGTCTTTTCACGATGTCACCTGGCAAATTTCTCTATGTCTCACAGTTAAAACATGTCAGAGATGCATATAGGATTTCAGGGTTTTCTTAAGATCCACATTAATCACCAGTTTAAGAGTACTTTTTATCCCTAAAATCAGACTTAAGTAGTAGATACTATACTATAATATATACTATAAATACTTCCCAACCACCCCTCCCACTGTTAAATATGGCTTCTTCATTCAAACTGAAAGAATTTTGATGTGATACTTTCCAACCCTGAAAAAGCTGCTACATGTTTTTGGGGTGCTGAGAAACACTCCACTGCCAGCTACCTAAAGCTTAACATAACATTACAATACTTTGCTCAAAAATAGGTAAGAATATTTATTGTTGAAAATATTTCAAGGGACTGACTGTACTACAAGCCTGTAAATTTATATTAAAAAAAACCAAACAAAAACCAAAACAACCAAAACCTGAAGCAGATAATCTAGATCCTTCATTATAAGGTGTCATAAACTGTACCTCATCCCTTCTTGACCCTTTCCTTCCTCTTCCTTTCTTGCTCTTTTTGTCATACAAATAAAAGAAAACGTTTTATACCTGGTTACTTACCCCAGATCCACAAAATCGACCGAGTCTCACTGCTGCCTTATCATGACCATCAAAGAGTTCCACATAATCGTAACCACAGTCTGCCTCTTCTTCAACCTCGAAAGTCTGAAACATTAACTCAACCCGATAGCCACGCTCTGCCACCAGGAGCCAGTCGCAGTCTGCCTGAACTGGATAGTTGTTGTCACCAAACTGAGCATGTGAGTACAGATCTTTGGGCTTGGTTTCAGCTTTCAACCGACCACCACACTCTAAAGAGATGGAAAAAAAGGCAAAGAAGCTTATGCAGTGCAAATTAGAGTTTTCTCTTTATAGATGCCCAGTCTCATTCAGGCTGAGTGCGTTATAATGCCACAAGCAGGTTAATCAAACAAGCTGAGAGTGAAATACTAGCCAGTAGAAATACAAAGCCATAGTTCTGAGTTTTTCTTACATAAATTATTTCATAACTAGAGAGACTTCAACATAGTGCATAATTATCAAGTGAAAGACAAAGACAGGGAACACCACAGCTAAAAGGAATGTGGTTGAAGCAGTATGGCAGTCTTTGAGTAGGCATTGAGAAGTGCCTGTGGCCAGCAAGACAGGTGCTGTAAGTAGGGCATCCACATTTCAGTGATGACACTTCCACATATATTAACGACACTTATTGCAAGTGACACAGGAGGATCAGCTCTAGCACACATGTAGTCAGCAATTAAGTGCAAAAATCTCATGTTTCACGGGAATGTCAGCTTTAACCATACTGTGGCACCTGGAAAGCAAGCTCAATTTGAAGCACCACTGCCAAGTTTGCTACCTTGTTTGCTGTGTAGTTCATGATCATGAACAGGCCTCTCCCTGCAAAAGACTGTGGCTGGGAGAAAGCTGCTACTACCAGAGAAGGTCTTGTAACTGAAAGCCTGCTCTTAAGTCAAGCCTTTGGCAGGAAATCTTTGCCTTCTGCCAAAACCATTATTTCAGCATAAATCTCTATTTGTACACAGTTGCAAAAGGGATGTGGGGCTTTAGAACTTGTTTATAACTGCTCAAAGACTTCATAATTTAAATATGATTCAGCTTTACTGTATAGTTGAATAAGCTGTTCAAATACAGTCAAATAAATTTAGTCAGTTTGCTGGAGAACAAAAACTGCTGAAAATGCACTGAGCAAAAAAACTAAAAATAAATACAGTAGTTAGGAATTTACTCTTTCTAACTATCTTTAGGAGCTACAATTTAAACTAATCTATCCAAATGCAGCCAGTGAATTCAGTTTCTACAGTAACTTAAATATATAGCAACCAAAAAGAGATGGAAAATTGTACTTAAAGGAAAAGATACATTGTTTATTATGGTTCCAAAAGATGGGTGGAGGCTTTTTCATTTTACAAGTAGGAAGATTTCAATGCAAACAGAGTAATTCAGTCTTGGTTTCTCATCAAGAACACATCATCTCTTACAGCACCCAAAAAGCATCAAGTGCAAATGAGTTTGAACAAAAATCTGAGATTCACAAGTTTGGATTTAATTTTTATAAGTAAATTAACAGATAATTCTACCTGCATTTTGATCAAAGGTAGATATTATTGATTGATCATTTTATAATAACCTGAAACAAACTGCAATATTCAAACATTTCTAAGCTTTGATGAAGAGACAATGAATTCGACTTGTGTCATTGACTCTACTAACACTAAACACATAATGCTTGATGTGACAAGTCACATTTTAGCTGGGAACTAATAATGGTAATTACCAAATCCTGTTATTTTTTTAAAAGTGTGGGGGTTTTATTAATAAGGAAATTAAGAAATCAAACTAGGAAATATAAACTACTTAAGTAATACATTATGCATGACCTGTTGTTTAATCTGAAATTTCAGGTTTTTTTGCTTTTAAAGAACAGATGGGAACACATGATAAAAATTTGTCAAATAAGATAGTTTAAACAGTTATTTCTCATAGATATTCTAATATACTGGGTTTTTTCCCTATCCTTCATTTTATGTACTTACTTCCTTGTTGGGGGGGAAAGGGGGTGAGGGTGTTTTGGGTTTTTTTTTTCGTTTGGTTTTGGGTGTATTTTTTATTTACTGGACTGTTGCCAATATTAGAAACATCCCTCTGCCTCAGACACCAAACAGCTGCTACAGAGAAAATGTTTAATTAACTGTATTTTTCCCCTCTTCTTGCAACAGTGGACAGCAGCTTTAAGAAAAATTGTAGTCATACTGACAACCACAGAAAATGGTAATTCCCATTTCCCTGCCTTTCTCTCATGGACTATAGCCTCATATTTTAGAATAAAGTATTGATTTTAGAAACTACACAGTGCAGAACTGCATTAGGATGTGTGGGACAGGCACAGAACAGAGCAGTGCCACACACCACCGCTTGCTTAGCCTGGGTACCAGAACTAACCTAACTGCACTACACATCATGTTTTCCACGCACAGGTGTGGCTGCTCTGCTGTAGGCACAATGTATGCATCTGACTGTAAAGAAATGTGTCCAACTTTTAAAATTCTTAAGTTTCAGGTGAAAGATTTTTTCTAGATCAGTTAAGGAGCAAAAATCCTCTCTTGTTTCCTGACCTTTCTAAGGACTTTTAGGCTTCTTACAGACATAAGAGAAAAATCAAGCACTAGTGTCCTGAATGTTTAACAAGCCAGACAGATGGGAAAAGCTTAAACCCACACCATCTGAACTAGTGAAATAAGATGATAAATGTGATTCAGCACTGCCATACTGAATTATTATAGTTATTTTGGAAACAACACAGACTCCTTAAACTGAGTGACATCTGAGATGCCCAAATTCATCTGAGATATCCTCCCAGCATTGCCAGATAGATATAGGACCTACAGCAGATCTGCAACCTCCTGCAGCAGTGGCTGGAGGCCAGGCATCATAAATGATGCTGTCCAGAAGGGAACTAGATGCCTGTGTTAGGGCAAACAGATCACTCCCTGAGCAATGATGTTTAATGTTCTGTCAGGAGCATTTTTATTAATTCCTCCTGGATGGGTTATACCTTTTCTGAGAGGGGAAAATATGACAGAATCTCTTTCTAAAACTATGTTGCACTTTCAAAACAGCATTTTTAAAGTTTTCTCCACTCAGGGAAGCCTTTCTATCCAATCTAGTTTTTGAAACTTTACTTCATGTGCTGCCACATTTTTATCCCATTTTCTGAAATATTAAATGGAAATTTTGAAATTGGATAGTACTTCAAGTGAAACAGTGCTTCAAAAGGGAGCTCAATATCAACAGCATCTACTAGAGTAAGAGACCATTAAACCATGAAGATGCCAGCAATACAGGAAGAGAGACATCTCTGGGCATAGCATCCGGTTACTCTTTTACTGTTGTTATGTCGTACCAGTCTTTTTATTGAGTGAGTTCTGCCAACAGGTCAAAAGTGAAGGCAGCAGCTTCCTCAGCACTCCCTGCCTGTCTGCAGAGCTACGCAGGATCAAACAACCTCGTTTTATTGCCCACCATCAATTATTATTTGCTAGAAAAGATAGACTAAGGGAATACAATCCACTGTCCATCCACTTGTTAGGCGTCTATTCATTCACATGCATCCATAGCACCGAGGTAAAATTCTCACAGAGAATCAGTATTTGGCTGAACACTGCAGGAAAAGACTGAAAGATCTGAACTGTCTCTCATTTAAATGCTACCTCCAAATACATGCTGGTGGTGCATGTTTGTCTGAGGCAGTAGTCTGTGCAACCACAACTCACAGAAATAAATGTCCTCTCTTAAGGAGACAAACTTCATAATTTTTTACAACATACTTAAAAACTGGGTAGATTTTATCCTTCACTGTTTCTCAGAAAAGCACTGTTGTGTCTATTAAGGTACATAAAACTCAGCAAGTCCTAAAGTAATTCACAATCTTTAGAAGTCAGGAGTATACATCTGAACTTCTTTCCCATGCTGACTGCTCCAATTCTGCAAACTAAGTGAGTAGAATAAACGAGACAGTAGTTTTACAACACCAGATTCTAACAAGAGTTTGGACCTTTAACTATATACCCTGAGGTAATTAAAAAAATATTAATTATTACCACTTTTATCTAATTTTGCACATGAGGGTTACTGCAGTAGGGAAGGCAAAACAAGCCATGCTTGTAAAAGAGGATTTTCCACGAGAAAAACAAATTGAATTACAGGTAGCTAAGTTTTTCACTTTAAAGGTCCAGATCATAAGAGTGAAGAGTTCATGTATTGTTGTTTACTGTTTTTCTCTGAAAGGGAAATTATATTACTAAAGTTTAAAAATTATTTGTAACAAGCCAGAAGGGAAAAAAAAAAAGGAGAGAAAATGCCACTATTGATATATAGGGATTTGTTAGCTGAGCGTTACACACCAACTTGATGAATATTCTGGGTGATATCAAATTACACTAAAAATTAGTAGTCATCTTGGTTACTCTCTTCTGTTAATAATTGTTACCTGTCATTAAACCTTATCTAGTAGTACAGATATCTATGAAATATTTTCTGCATTAATATTTAATGCCAAATACTGGATGAATAAGAATGAACTTTGAAAAGTAAAGACAGACATTATGGTTGAAGATGAAAACAAAGGCCAAAAAGGCCAAATCCTCTCATCTTACAACAGGCACGGGAAGTTCAGAGATTCAGCACTAGGGGCCACTGTCAGCCAAGCAACGTTGGGGAAAGAAATGTACACACTGAAAATGTCCGAAGAACTCTATTAATGCAATTGTAAACCACTACTTCCAATTTCAGCGATTTCTCTCAAAGAAGAAAATTAAACTTTAAATATGAAGAATATTATATTCTAAGGGTCCTAAGAAAGTTTCAGTATTGTTTTTTTCTTATTCTTCTTCAACTTGTCTTTGCTTTTTAGTACTACAGGAAATAGCCGTTTACACAAACCCCAGATTTTTGTTTAAGTTAGAACAGGGAAGTAATGGAGGTGCATCACATGTCCCAGTTAAGTGTTGCCATTACAAATACAGTGAAAAGCTACCAAATCTTTTAGGAACTCACGTTACGAATCCTAAGGAAAATCTCTTTCATTTTTTAATCAGACTTTGTTTCAAAATCTTTTAATTGCTTACCTATGAGAGAGAGAGAGAGACAGGGAGAAAGAGACATCTAAAATATTAGAGAATATTTTCTGCAATCTCAGACTTTTCCTACTGTGCTTAAGGTTTCATTAGATTCAGCTGTAACACTGTCTTATCTGTGAACTCATCCCATTTCTATAGAAGAAGTATCTATCTGAATATCCTCCACTAAAGAACAAAGGGCAAGTTATTAGTAAAGCACATCCCGATTTCTGACCTGTAGAGTGTGTTGCTTGGAAGCCTTTTCTTTGAACTGATGCATCAGAAATAAAGCGGAGAAACATTTTGTTTCCAGTAGCAATAAGAGGATCTGGTATCTTATTGCCACATAAGCGCCCCAGGATTGGTGATTTTTCACTTTCACCATCAAATACTTCCAAGTGGTCATAAGCACATTCTTGATGTTGTTCTATTTCAAATTCATTGAACGTCTAGGAGAAAAAGAAAGTAGAATTATTCACTGTGCTACTGCATTTATTGTGTTCACATGGTACATATGTTAGTCTGCTTTAGAATACAAAGATATAGTTAAGATGACAGATTTAACATTACTGCCTCTACAAGACTGTAGTTTGAGTAACATAGTGATCTTGAGAAAGTGGAATAACAGTTAAGACAGTGAACTTCAAGAGTGCATCATCCTTCATATAGAAAGGCATTAGAATCTTTATAGCCAACCAATATCTTTAAGAGAACAATAAATCTAGAATACAGTGGCCTTTCTATTGAAATTGCACTGTTTGTAGGATTATTCCAAATTTCACACAACATTCAAAACAGCAAAAAGTCAAAAATTACTGTTTCTTTCCATAGTTGAGGATCAATTGAAACATCTGCAAAACATAATGACCTCCATCCCTGTTTATTAAAACTTACATTACACTGCAACTAAAGCCTTTGAGAATGACATTTCCACATGAAGGGAAAGTTATATTTTCTATATACATGGAAGTTATATTCTCTAATCTATTATATAGAAATCTATTTTTTTTATTATTACAACATTAACAATATTTCAGGCTGTGCCCTTCATGCTCAGGTCACCTTTTGCTAGCAAAAGCATTGTGAAAAATAACAAACTTATGTTGGTTATTTATTAGAAAAAACTTCAGGCATTCCCAAAAAGTGTATGCCAGACCTGACAGAAACCGTTAACACACACACACAACTAAAACCTCCTTAGAAACAGAAGGGTGTCTTCCAAGAATAGACTGATTTGAACAAATTTATTTCAAGGGGACATTAAGAGTTTTCAAATAAGATTTTTTGAACAGGGCTAAAGCTCAAGAGGAAACCCCAAACACTGAAAAGAAATATGCATATACCTCTTTGTAAATTTTCAGAGTAACCTACAATTTAGGGGGAAATTCAGTATCTATTTTTTTCATTAAAATAGCATAAAAACCACTGAGTATAAATTCTCTTGTGAGTAGTCATATAGGTGACTGTTTATTTAAAAAACAAACAAACAAACAAACCCACAAAAAGTTTAAGAAAAATACTTAAAAGGCATAAAACCGATCAAATACTGAGCAAATATCATAATTAAGCATTCGCTCTGGGATACCAAAGCAAATGACTTACCAAACGCCTTGTGGAATCCAGACAGTGTGAAATGTGATGGTAATTTATATTAACAGCTGACCTAAAGAGCTAACACAACACTTTTTGCCCAAAGAACTGCAATGTTCAGAATAAAACTTTGTTTTGTGAAGAGCTGCATGATGCAGTGAATGCAGGCCAATTTCACAGGAGAGTTCTGGGTTTTACATTAAGGGACTGAAACTGCAGAGGCAATGAAAACAGCTATACAGCAGTCCCTCCTGCTGCTCTTAAATTGTGGTCAGCCATCCTACTTTTATGACATCAAGTATATGTTGTCATTTACACCTAAATAAAATATGGTTAATTAAAAACCTAGAAAGCTAAGAGACTAACTCTCACTAAGAGAGTTATACATAGTATTGAGTCAAGTCAACCTGGACTCACTGGGAGAAAGACGTAATCCAAGAGCACCCTGCGGAGCCTCATTTTCTTTTAGAGGAAAATAAGATCAGTTTTATTCACTTATCAGCATTAAAAAAACCCAAACAAAACAACCACTCTACAGGAAGCACATCTCACCATGACCTGTAAGACACACCTGTTATTTTTAATATTTTACTTCTCACTGGGATTCCTAAGCATGCACAAACACAGGTCATGTTATATTGTGTTGCACAAAGTTGACCACAAAACAGTCCTAAATCTTGTTGTGAGTATAGTAACTGATTCTAGCAATTGCAAAGAGAATCAAAGGAATTTTGTTTTTTAAAGGAAAATTAGATCATAATATCCATAGTCTTTTTAAAGCTCAAAATGCTTGGTATTTTAGAACACTCAAAGAGAGTCTCCATTTCTTACACAATCAGTCATTTCCTAGTAGGTTTGAAAGAGAACTGACACAAACTTCCCTTAAACATAACTGCATAGCTGCTGTCAACAGACTTCACAAATGATCTAATACAGTTGTTAATATAATTAAAAATTACACCCTGTCTTCCTGGGACAAATACTTTTGAATTCCTACCCCACCATTACTACAGTCCCCATTTTAATTGTGTCCTTAGTGGGAATGGTGTTCAGAAATGTTACATGTAGCTTCTGAACATCGAGCCCTTTCTATCTATACCACTCAGCTGAGTAGGTATGTTGGTGGCATTTATGGATAGCTGCCTGAATGGGACACTTAAGTCTATCTCTTATAAACATCCGGCAGATTAGGTTGTGAAAATTGGTCTTTCTGCTACATACATTTTCAAAACCATCTTTATCTACATGTTTCATTTAAAACTTCTGAAGTGTATATCTATTTTTTCATAGGCTTCTTAATTGCACCAAATGTTTAACTTTAGCCTGTTCAGGAAGAGACTTTCCAATGGTTATCAGAGTGAGAGCAATCACAATAAAATATTAGTTTCTTTACAAACATCCCTCTCAAAAAAGCAAGTACAATCCCACAATTCATGTGGTTTGTTACCATGAAAAAATCAATTCTCTCCTTGTTCAATTTGAACAAATAACCTATGACAAGTAAAATTAAATACACTGTGAAAGTCCAAGAAAAAGTACTGAATGTGGAATTATGGTTAATAACATACAATACCAATACAATAATATTATTGATATGGCACCTTGCCGTACTACACAATTTAAAGATATACACACAGAACTTGGTAGTTGACCTTACCAGCTTGCACAGAAGAGCTGATCTCAAAATCCAAATTGTTGAGATATTTTTGAAAATTCTACCTGAATGTTGAAATTTTGCCTGCTGAGGTTGTAAGTACAGGAAAAGCTTTTACAGCAACATACCCATACTATGCCTGGTTGGCTTTGGTTTATTCAGCCAGAATGCTTGCTCAGAAGTAGCAGTAGGAAGGCTGCCTGAATCAAAAACCTATTTTTCACCCTTGGAATGGATAGGGAATGCACATCACTCATTTTCCACCCCCTGCCAAACCCCCAGCATAGTTTAACTGTTTTACTTTTGGTGAACAGGAATCAATACACAATCCCACATCAGCACCAGTAATGGGAGTTTAGTGTTTAACCCCAGCCAGCAGCTGCTTGGTCACTCCCCGACCAGTAGCACTGGGGGGAGAACTGAAATAGCAAAAGATAGAAAACTCATGGATTGAGATAATGACAGTTTAATAGGGGAAGCAAAAGCTGCACACACAAACAAAGGAAAACAAGGAATTAATTTACTGCTTTCCATGGACAACTAGATGTTCAGCCACCCCCAGTAGAGCAAGGACCCATCACACATAATGGTTCCTTGGGAAGACAAATGCCATCACTTCTAACATCCCCCCTTTCCTCCTCCTTCACCTCCACTTGATATCCTAACCATGATGTCATACTGTATGGAATATCCCTTTGGTCAGCTGGGGTCACCTGTCCTGGCTGTGTCTTCTCCCAGTCTTCCATGCACTCCCAGTTTCCTCACCAGCACAGTGGTAGGAAAAGCAGAAAAAGCTTTGTCTCTATGTAAGTACTACTCAGCAATAACAAAAGCAGCCCTATATTATCAACACTGTGTTCAGCATAAATCCAAAACATAGCCCCATATTAGTCACTGTGAAGAAAATTAACTCTACACCAGCCAAAACCAGCACAAGGGGTTAGGGTTTGACTAAGGTCAGCAGTTATGAGATTACAATAACCCTTTCATCCCTGCATCAATACTGGCTATTGCTTCTACTTCTCTGAAGCAGAGACAGCTCTCTCCTTAACTTTATTTGCTCCAAAGCTGTCATAAAATCAATTTATCATATTTTAAAATATGTAAGCCCAGCTTTTTTTGTGGCTGTTCCCCAAGTACAGAGGGACAGTGAAGGAACACTGGGACTGAGCTCAAAGCAAAAACCCCCTAGGTAGGACCATGCCTTCAGCTTTGTACAGAGGCTACGTAACCTCCATAGACCTGTAAAGCTCTCTGCTAGCCTGTCTTTGGCCACCAGTATTGTCCTCAGTCAGCTGGACACAAAATTCATAAATCTAGTCCAGTCTGTTCTTCTAGTTATGTTAAAATTTGGAGCCACTTTTAAATGAGAAATCCAGATTCTTGGGTTTTTTGCATCTTCTTTTCCTCTTCAGAAATTACAGACCAGAAATGCAAGAGGTGTGTGTTAGAGGACTGTTCATAACTCAAATTTTACTTTTTCTGGAGTTTGTTTAAATGGCCTCTGCCACATTTGTCAAAACTTTGCAGAAGTTTTATGAGTTGCAACAACAATATAGTAAAGTCTGACAGGAGGAAAAGTATTCCTCCTGCCTTCTGCTGTCCAGAATATTCCCAATCACCATAAACTCGAATGATAGCTCGTGATATTGAGTAGTCCCTGTTGGCCACAAATAGACAGGAGTCAGCAAGTTTCTAAAATAGTTTACCTCTGGGATGCAAACTGATGGTAAAGTTTAGTAACAGTTTCACATAATTGAGCAGTCATTCGAGAAGCTGGTTTGGGGGAAGAAAAGATAAAAAAAGGAGGGTTACCAGAAACTCACCAATTTGACCCTCTGCCCAGGGGTGGCACTGATTTCCCATGTGCACTCCTTTCTGCTGGGATACTTGTCAGGCCAGTTGGGACTCGTGATGATACCATTGGGACTGTGGATCTTCTGTTCACACTCAGCTGTGCCAACAGTGATAGCATCAGTTAGTCTGGGGTTCTGCATTCAAAGGTAGCCAAAAAAAGTACTATATTTTTCAGGGCACCCACTGAATGGAAAGGATCTAGAGACAGACAGGTTAAGGACGCTCTTCAGAGTGCACAATCACGTTCTTCCCTTCAGGCACACACTGTATAGCATTAACCCAGTATGCTTGTTCATTGTTTGTTGTGAAACATACACTGCTGTTTACAATAGCTGGTCTTTCTTTGGAAAAAGTATTATAAAGGAATAAACATAAGATAAATATTAAAAATTAATCAAATATTAAATATTAAAAATTAATCAAATATTTTGCTATTTCCCCCATCCTACATATAAGTAAGTATGTAATCCATATGAAAAATCTTTCTACTCCAACTACAAAAGAGATTTCTTGAACAATTAGTTTTTTTCTCTTCTTGCTAATTTTCATATTGCAGCTACAGAGCAACCATTTTGATTTCTAAACAACAGTTTCTAGGGATATATATACTACTAGAGAACATCTAAGACTACACTGTATTTCAGAAGAACAGCTTAGTCATTCACATTGTAACTGAACCACTAGTACACAGAACTAAAAGAAGCCATTTTTGTATTTAGTATTTTAGTATTTTGTATTGTTTTCTAAATATCATGCCAAAACCAGTGAAAATGCAGATTATTCACAAAGAGCATGTCTTTAGTCAATTTAAATCTATACTAGAAAACAACCTTGAGAAATTACAGTAGTTTACGTGATATTGCACACTTGAGGTTCATTTGCAGATAATCTAAATTCTACTTAAATCCCAAAGCCTATAATTTCTTGGAAGTAGCCACACCTCGAGGCAGGCAACAGGAAGAAAGATGCATAGGGATTTGACTGGAACTTAGATTTTCTGAATATGTTCCTCAAAATAAACCCAGAAAGAGGTAGATGGTTTCAATCTGACTTTGAGGAAACTACCTGTTCCTGATAGGAGCAAATGACAGCTTTACCAGGCTTCTCTCCAGAAACTCTACTTCTGTGTTTAATACAGCCTTAGATAATACTCTATCAGAACTTTAAATGTTCTACATTTCACAGAACTCTTAAAGTAGCACTCCCTGCCAATGATCCCAGGTTTTCCAAACTGCATTCCAGTGGATGTCAAACTCAGCCCACACAAATGCTGGGGATGGAGATGATGGGAAAGGGGAGAGGTGCTGGAGTGCTTAAGCTAAAATGTCTAAGACCCATTACCAAGATATTTTTCCCTTTCTTTTGTTTGAAAGGAGAGCTGCAGAAAGCTTTCTGCAAGGCAGTTGTGTAATCAACCATTCAAAAATCTTGCTACTTACCTTCTTTGCAGTCATGTTTATTTTCATGTAGCACAAATCCATTTCGGCACTGGCAAACATAACTTCCTACTGTATTGATGCACTCATGCTGGCAGCCACCATTGTCCTTCGAACACTCGTCCTTGTCTACAAAACACACAAGAAGGTCGAGTGAGCATCACAGTCAGCAGTAGATCCTGTCACCATAAAGAAAAACGTTGAGCAGAGAGTTTGAGTCTAGAAAAGGAAAATCTATGGCACAGTCACTCTTCTCAGTAAGGCAGTTTCATGGTACCTCAGTTCTAGACACTCACTGCTCAGCCTACAAGCTTACACCACAGCACAAAGAGTCTGTCTTGTCTTTCTAGAAAATGAGGGTTAGTTCCTAAGGGAGTTCCTAAGCTAGAACAAAGAAGATAAGAGAGTTACTAGTTTTTACTCTTTCAAGTGGTCTAGCTGGTAAAAGTTTCATAAATATCCAAACTTTTATTTTACTTAACAACGGTGGTGTACTTTACAAACAACACATAAAGCATTCCAACTTCACGCAAATTCCACAATTTAATGGTGATATGTTCAAAGGAACACGTAGGGCAAACAAGACTTCAACCTCTACATTACTAAACATGTAAGAAAAGAAGGATTTCACATCAACTTTTCTAATAAGTTGATTTTCTTTTCCCCCAGCAAAGTGACACTTTACTTTAAATGAATCTGGACATTACAGAACATCACAAAAAGAAAAACATTTCTTTTAAAAAAAAAGAAATTGGCATTAGTTAGTTCAAGATACACAATGTAACATGCAGTTCTGTATATTAACATATAATCCTTCAAAAGAGCTTTTAGTGTGTTAGAAATAAAGCAGAGAGTAGCAGAGGAAATATGACCTGCATTAAACAGCTACAAATTCATTGCATGGAAAAAAGCCAAACTAGATTAACAGGCTGTCATTCTAACAAGAGGCTTCAGTTGCCACACTTCTATGTCATTCAGCTGTTCCTGTTAGGCTGGTCCTTTTAAAAAAGGCAGACTGCTCCTAACATCTATATACACATACATGTACATATGTATGTGCATGCATATAACTATATACACATAGACACATATATATACACACATTCTTAGATATAAAAATATATGCCTATATGTATAAATACACACATATTTTAAACCCCTCTATTTTACACAATGTGTCATTTCAACATGCAAAAGAGAGGAGGAAAAAGAGCAAAGAAACTGTGGTCATCCCAGGTGTCTGGTTGTTACAGGTTTGAAATGCAGAGCATTTACCCTCTTCAGCCTCATGTACATTGAAAAACAGCAAACATTGTCTTCAAACAAGGGAATGTGATATTTCAGACTTTAGTAGGTACAATAAGAATTTCTATAGATTAGAAGACACTGGATAATTTAATTCTCTTTTCATTGTCTTACTCATGCGTTTTTTTCGCTGTCCTTTTTGATGCTCATATTTAGTAACACACAAAGGAAGTCTGCATTGTAATTGCATACACATCACCTTCCTCTGCTAAAGTGTATGCAACTCTGCCAAAATGCAACACTTTACCCGTTGGTCTTTCCATAAAAATCAGCTTCTACATATAATACATGATGATAATGTATATTTATAGATAAATTCTGCAAGTCAAACTCAAGTATCCACTGCATTTCATTCTGTAAATCTCAAATCTGTTTGCACTGAAAGTTTTTGGAAGCTTTCTAGAAATGTGAACAGATTTGAAGATTAACAAACAGTTGAAAACATAGGTACCTCCCAGAATCATACATTCAGAGACTTATAGTTGTCATTTTGACAATGAAAGAAGCATAAAAGCTCCACAATACACTGTTTATGCACTTTGCAATGCAAGTCCAAACTGAGGTAGTAAATCTATGTAATTTCAAACCACAGTTATAATCTTTCACCTTTGCAAAAGCACGCACTATCATAAATTAATTCCACATTGCAAGTGAAGAACAGTAACAAGCAATTGCAAAATTAGAAATAATACGAACAAAACTCTGCAATGTTTTTCCTCCTAAAAATTAGTTTGTAATTTTCCAACAAAATAACAAAATGAAAGGAAGGCAAGTTCAAAATGCATTCAAGTTAGGCTTTCAAATACAGAGTAGGTGCAAGAATTCAAAATAAAAGCCCTGTTCATTTTCATCTTCCACCAAGCTGTGCAAATATTCTGTAAAATAATCTCTAATAAGACAAGTGCAGAAAGCAAACAGTCCCATGTTGGATCTCCTCTGAATAAAATAATGGACAGAAGGTAGAAACGAGAACTTTTGGAATACATTTGAACTACAATAATTACTTGTACATGGTTCATCAAGGATGCAACTGTTGAACAAGCCTTCCTCACACTTCATAACTAAGGACAGACTTTCTGTCAAATTGATTGCCCAGTTTCAAAATTCATGAAAATAACAATTAGTCTGTATTAGTTCCAAGAACAAATGTTTTGCCATGTAAAAACAAAGCCATTTGTTATGCTGACAGATGGAAATGAGTCCCCCCCTCCGGTTTTGAATGGATACTTTCTTTCTTTTCTCATTTCAGTACTCAGAAGAGGGAAAGATCCATTCTCAACAAAATGTTAGATTGCATCATTCAGAGGACAAATGGTCGTACCTCTGAGACCCTCAGAGGCCACCAGTCTGTGAATAATACGTACTCGGCCTGTAGGGACCTGTATCAAATCCTCGCAAGATTCAAAAACAAAAATTTTCTCTTTGCAGGCAGCTTTCTTGTCTGTGGAAAAAAATGTACCAGGATGGCACCAGAGATGAGTTTGTGCTCAAGGCTAGAAACATTCTAGCTTTTTCTTTTTAATTGCTCAGTGAGTCATCACCCAAGAAAAAATGTCCCAACAAACTTTATTTCATCAAGCATCATGTATGTTTTGAATGATCACGTAAAAAATCATGTTTATTTAAAACACTGAAGTAACTCTGAAAGTTATAATAAAGGGAAGCAGTTTAATGACATATTATCACTGATCCTTAGGTTATCTTCTCAGAAAGATCATGGAAAAAAAATAAAGAGGGTGGATTTTTTTAACATACATTGTTATTATTATTATCTTCTTGGCATTATTTTATACTCCCCTAGTCTTATAGGCCCAGCAGATTGCTAGATCCTGCAGGGACTGACTGCTAGGTCTTGTAACAAAAGCAGAAGAGAGAGACAGAAGAAGACAGAAAAAGACAGAAGAATAAAACCTCAATTACTCAAAGCGTTATTATTTATTTATTTAATTTATTTATTTAATTTATCCAATTCCAAAACCATATATTAAAAGTGTTTAAAAAATTAATATATCATTACTTCCTAGTTTCCTCTCTTTATCCAATAAACTTGATTATAAATATACAATAGTGCCTCTGTAGATCAGCTAGATCCCTGCAACAGCTCCCAACTGAGCTTTTTTCAGAACTGTCCCATCAAATAAAAATTTTACAAAATATTGGAAAAAAAAGTTTTTCTCACTTTCTAGTAGCACCTGTCTGGCTGTTAACACTATTTTACAGCCAAAAATGTAATTACATGTTGTCTTGTATCAACATAAATACCTTACTAATGCAGGTCATCAGTTGCCCTATGTCACTGTTTGCTTTCACAGTTTATCACAGTAGGTTTCAACCACCCCAAAACTGCTTTCTGTCTTCTAAGCTGGAGCTGGGCCATGCTTTCTCAGCTCTAGCTGTGGCCAGAGAATTCACCACCAAAAGAGTTAGAAAAAAAAAACAACGAGAAATTCTTTGGCTGTGTTTGGGGAACATATTACAGTTCCTAATCTTCACACTAATCTGACATATCCACATTTCTCTCTTGCTGAGCATTGCTAATGCCCTTTATTGGTGAATAGACTGCAAGAGAGTGTTTTACTCATTACATTTTTTTCCATGATATATGTCTTTATAACTGTTTACACATATTATTGTGATTTAATTAATAAAATGGGTAAATGCCTCCAGCAAGTAACTAAGCATTTCTATCCAGATACCATTCTAAAATTATTGCATTCTGAAGACTAATATCTATGCATACATATATATAAAACAGACAACCCCCCTACATTTCATCAGCTGAAAAGTTATCAGTTACCAACTCCCAAAAGTCAAACTGCTTGAAGTCTCAGGTCTGTTCTTCATTGGTATTTCAATAGCCTGTTATGCCTATATTAAGGAATTCAGGGGTAAGAAAGTCTCCGTGTTTTCTGACAGCCCTAAGGTTTTTGTCTGATGAATTATTTGAAGATGTCATCCTCTTTCTAGATACTTTTAAGTTCGGAAGTTTGACTTGTTTCAAGCATTAAAAAATTGTCAAATATTTTAAATGGAGAAAGGTAACTTAGCAGAATAGAATCTGCTAAAAATTAGAAAAACTAGAAGAGAACTGAGAAAGAATAAAAGTAAAATACAAAGTATTTGGACTCATGTGAAACAAGAGAAGAGATTATGGCAAAAATGCATTATGAAACATTCAGTAAATTTCTATGCTTATAGAATCAAAGACTATTTACGTCAAATTATCTCTTTTTTTGGAAAGAGATTAGATATATATTATATCAAGGACAGATCACACATTTCTATTAATTAAAAAATCACATCCATTCAAATTTATTCCTGATTAATTGTTTCTGGTGATCAATGATGTCTTTTAAATTTCTTTTTTTTTCAATTACCAGGAAAACCCTGTTTTCACCTTGTGGGGGAAAGGTAAGAAAATTTCATCCAGAACTGAAAAATACAAGAGGAACAATAGTTCTGAAAGATTACAAGCTGATGCTTTGTACTCTATGATTTATAGTCTAGTCTTTCCCCAAGATACAGCATTGGTGTGATTTCTTCCTAGAACCCATTCATAATAGTAAAAAAAAATCATTTAAGCAACGAATAAAATAAATAAGTAGATACATGAAGATAAACTATCACTTTAAAGAAAACCAAAATTTAACTGACTATAAATTTATAAATGTTCAGAAAGTCCAGAAAACACAACTTCTGAACCACAGAACTTACACAAATTACAAAGCCATCATTGCCAATCTTATGTGGCATAGCTCTATAGATCTTGAAACGATTTAACAAACTTCATCTGCAGATTTTAGAACTTGAACGTATCAATCCTTATTTCTGTAAAAAGTCAAAATACGTGACAATTACTGGGCCTACATAAAATAACTTGTTGAGTAAGAGTTTTCAGGAAGTGTTTCTTCTAGGAAGAAGCTCTGTGCACACACACGTTTTTACTACAAATAAAAGTAAATCTAAAAAGCTTCTTGCTAATGTAAACAATAAATTTTAAAGTAAAAACTGTTACTGTATGTAAAGATGCATCTGTGTGACCAGAGAAATGTGACTACTAGAAAAAAAATATACTTTGAAGGAGATAAAATGTTTGTTAATGTCTTTGCATGAGATGAAAGACCTCCTTTCATCTTTCATAATGGTTTAATAAAAACAACAAATAGTCATAATAACAAACATTCAAAGTGTAAAATGTTTGTCTTAACAGTTATTTTTCCCTTTCCAAACCACCTCACTTATACATTATACAGATTCTTTTTACCTAGTCATAATGATGAGTTATTAACAGTAACCAATTAAATATAATTTCATTTCAGTTTCCATAAAATATTTTAGCAAAAAATGGCTCATAATGGTAACATATTTTACTGCATGCTAAGGATTCCCTAGATTCAGAGATTCAAAACAACCTGGGGCACAATTCAACTCCCAAATTCTTCTATTTGACAACCAGTTTAGGGAAGTGGGCAGATGGGATTGTTTTTTTGTTTTGTTTTACACAAGGTAACATACCTATCCATATGTGTGTGTGTGTAAACACATAGGAATAGCACAAAGCAGAATTTCTGTACAAACACCGAGTGGTATCCTTCCACAGTCAGATTACTGTATTCTAGTCTCAATGGGTAATTGCAGAGACCACTGCTGTGCAAATATTTCCTCACATCTTAAGCTTCACTCATGTCTAATTTTATTCAAGAGTATATGTCCTGATATGATATAAACTTCCAGCACTCTGATCTGCTTCAGTAAAACTACACTCGTAAATAAAAAGACACAGATTTTTGCAAGAGCAAGATCTTAAACTCTGTTCTTCTGCAAAACATTAAGAAGTGCAAATTTTGGCACAGAAGTACCCATAATGTTAAACAAATGTTGTAGCACAGTGGTAATTTCCCAACAAATGGAATATATTAAGAGACCTGAGTAGAAAAAAATACAAGTGTACACAATACGCAACTGGTATCATATTACAACTGGGATTTGAAAAAAATAGCAACAAAACTTGGGATAAAAGAAATCTAATAAAAATGCAGGAATACAGTAAATTTATTTTCTTCCTCTGTATCTCACAAAGTTTATTTGCCTCTGCTGTTATTTCAATATATAAATATACATATATATATGTTCAATGTGTTTTCTACAGACATTATAATTCAGAAGGGTATTTTAAAACAGAAGAAGGGTTTATGCTTATATAAATAAAACAAATTCAAAGCTATCAGGAAAGCCATAAACAGAAAAGCCAATCATTTTCATACCAAGAGAGTGTTCGCTCCACCTAGTCAGTGGACACCCAGACACACTTGTAGGTGTACAAGAGTAATTTTCTATACCTGAGAAGAAGTGTGCCTTGAAGCCCTTTTTTGACACAGTATTGTCAGATCGGAACTCAATTCGCATGTTGTTGTACTGAGAGGTGATAACTTCAGGCACTTCTGTACCACAGAATTTACCGTGTAGCTTAGAATCAGAAGAAAGGCCACTACGAATCTCTACATAATCATACTTGCAAACCTGAGAACAGAAAGAAAAGAAAAAATTTTGTCTAATCAAAATAAAAGCATGAAATTGTTTGCAAATGTCAGAACTCTGATTGGTATATGGTGCTTAATAATACATGAATAATATCCTTTTCACTTTCCCCGACTCTGAAAACATTTGTAAATTCTTCCAAACATTCAATGATTTTATGTAAGACATTTTTAGGTCACTGACACATAACTATGCTATGAATTACATTCAGTATGATGTTTTTATAGATACTCATCTGTATTTCATGTCTAAATTTCAAGATGCTTAGTAGCATTTTTATTTAATCTAAAAAGTGAATGTTCCATTGACAGTAAACTAAAATCTGGAAACAGTCACCCTAAAAATGATACCTATTTGTTTGTTATAAACCACATACCTTGAACCTAAAAACTTTCTACTGCTTGCATCTCACAGATTTTTTAAAAAATTAATTTTCACTTAGAAACTTACAAGGTAACTTTTTAACATAATGTATTTAAGACTTATGAATTTATTTACAAATATATAAATCTGCAGTGTTAAAACCATACATTGTTCTTTAATAGTAGCCTAGCTATAATTTCAATGCATGATGCATGCCATTTTCATTAAAAGGTTAAAAATAAAGTAAAATAATGTAATAAAAAAGCCTTATGCAAGGCCTACTACTCATGATAATACTTTCAATGCATAATCCCTTGGCCACCCTAAAGCCTTCCACCCAAAAACTTTTAAGCTTCTTAGACTCAACTATCAATCATTTAATCAAAAATGTCCCAGTTGTCTGCAATTAATAGCTTAAGAAAAAACAATAGCCAGGAGGATTCATACAGAGCTTATATTGTCCATTAAATCCAAGCTGTATTTGATAAATCATAATTTCTAGGCAAAAAAGAATTGTCAGAGAAACTGGAAGGGAACAATAGAAAAGGATGTTTTGGCATTTGTTTTTCCTCTCTCCCTAGGAAAAAGTGTCAACATTTCCAATTGCTTCTAATATAATACACTGAAGACGTAGATTAAATTTTTATTTTTACTGGAATAATTTCCATATATTGTAGAGTCAGAAAGTGACTAATTCAGTTGCAACTAATTTTATACAATATAAAGAACACAAAGATTCATAAAACTAGACCTACTGACACATGCTGATTTATATTACTGGAAGATAAATTCATAATAATGCATGTGATTTTCAAATACAGGTCACTACTTATAATATAATAACAATATAATAGTGGTGATTTTTTTATGGTTTCATAGCCTTAGATTAGAAATGAAATGTAAATCAGGTAGGTCTAACTTTCTCTATACTATACTGTGTTAAAAAAAAATTTTACAAGCTAAACATAAAACATAAAGGTAAAATACTAAAATCGTAATAGTGGAAAAGAGATATTAAATTTGGCCTTAAATGGAGCTCCTATGAGGAAAAAATAATTAGAGTACTTGATAAATGTATACGTTTTTTGTCTGCACTCAGACAATATATTAGAATTTTCCAGATGTTTCTTCTGATTTTCACATCCTTAGTGCTACCTTTTAACAGTATAAAGCTAAGATTTAGCAGCACAGGAGATGATCAAACTGAAGTTCTGAATGTTGAAAAACATTTAAGTTTTTTGAATCTGCTTAAGTTACATATCTTGTATGATTTAACTGTTGATTTAACTTCATCATACCCCAGGTGTTTTCCTTGCAAATCCTAAGTACCAAGAAAGTGTGAGAAAGAAAACTATGATTTGTTCAAAATTCTAATTCTCTGGAATTTTTAAGTTTTTATATCTCTTTCAGTTCTAGTAATAACTATAGCAGAGCATGAATGTAACATATATATCCTTGAAAGTTGGAATTTCATAGACTTTAGAACCCACTCCAAATACTAGAGGAAAAAAAAAAATCTCACAGAAGGCATGTTTAGTTTGATTCTTAGTTATAAATTAAAATGCAGGTTTTGCCCCTTTAAATCCCATGCCCAAAAGACAGGCCATCTTTATACCAATATATGTTGCTACAAATTTGTTTAGTGAGAAATAACATCCTGGGATTTGCATCTTTAATGCCATGTGAGGAACATGCACAGAAACTCAATGGCTACAGCACATTATGGCTGGAGTGTGACAGGGGAACTCAGTGTTGTCACAGAGAAGTATCTACTAAGCAGAACAAAGGCTGAAAAGTTGATGTTGAATCCTGTATTTTATGTTTCTCATGAAAAAAAGCCTATTGTAACCCCCATCACTTTGTTTAAAGCTATAAGGAGCATCCTTTACTACATGGAGGCCTCTGCCCTGTCTCTCCTCCTGCCTGGGGATAAGATCCCCCATGCCTCTGGGGGCTGCCTAGCTCCAAAACTGCTGCAATTCTATTGTGCCTTATTTCTGGTACTGCTTGTTTTAAAATATTCCCCCAATGAGATACTTGTGAGTGATTTAAACGCTCCCTCACTCCATTACTAACCACAGCTTATGTGTATTCTTTGTAGTCAGCCTGTAAAGATGATTTGGTTTCTCCAGATTTTCTTCTCTTGAATTCTTTCCAATACTCCTCAGCCCCATTTGCTCTGTTTTACTTTGTTGATAAAAAAAGTCAGCTGAGACTCAGCAGAGAACATTTTTTTTAAATTTCTTGTAATGCATATACATTTAGATGATATGTAAAAGAGAGCTATTCTCTCCGTGTTTGTTTTGAAAGAATCCAGAAACAGTCCCAAAACGAAAACAAGAATATCTATGCTTATTGTCAGCATATGAAAGGTCAGCAAGGGTTTTATAAGACGATATCTATTTTCAAATGCTTGCAAAACTCTTCAGCATGTAACAGATTGTGCAGCTCTTTGTACACAGTTACTTACTTCGTTTCCTTCTAACTCAAAAAACTCGAACTTCATTGAAATTCGGTACTGCGTTGGGGCGACCACCTGCCACACACAGTTTTTGTTTGGAGGATACTCTTTGGGCCACCCTGGTGTGGTTATAGTCCCATTTAGCTTTGTCAGGAGTCCTCCACAAGCAGCTGTAAAATTAAAAGAGAGCATCATTTTTTGACTGAAACCATGTTTTACTGTAAACAGAAGCACTCTGGGAAGAATCAGTCCTCTCATTACTTATACTGCTGTATTGCCCAGACAGACTAATCAGAATCTTGTTTTATCATTCATGGTGCAAACAAAGACAAAGAGACAGCTTCTATCTTGAACAGCTTGCAGGTTTGTGGACAGAGATAAGTTTCAGGATTACACAAGGCGTTATCATATTCATTCTTTTCCTTTCCCTCCAGAGACTCTGGTTATTCTCTCACAGCCTTTCCCATGCAAGTCCTCTGACCTCACCTCCCTCCCCAGGACCTTGACCACCCCTCTTCTGACAGACAGACTACTCAAGATGCATTTTGCATTTCCCCAGTTTCTCTCTTTGATTATTGATACAGACTCAGTTCTACCTGTCTCAGCCCATACAGCTGTATATGCCTCCCACAATCTACCAGATAGGGCCACTTCTATGGAATAGCGATCATGTACACTTCAGTCACAATTACTTTTGTTGAAGTACAGATGTTCAAGTAATAGAGAAAATGCCCATTATTTCCAAACATATGCCAAATAGAGACGTCCATACAACAAAAAAATACCATACTATGTGAATGCAGTTCAGCTAGAAAGGGATAAACTCATTAATCTTTTCCATCCGTGTAATTTTTTTATATATAAAAAAGGAAAGTAATGGGATTTGCAGAGGTTTTTGATCACACTCTGCTACACTGATACCATTACAGCACTATGGCAGCACTGGAAATCATACACAAATCTCTTTCCAAAGAGCTGGGGGTGGGGGGAAAGCTTTACTCAACTGCTCTCTGCTTACACTGAATGCTTTACAAACTGGCTATTCCTATCTAGCTGATGATCTCACATGGTCCATCTACTTCATCTAACACAGCTGGGAGAACTCTCCAGTTACTGTGTCAAGGTTCATTTTTTCAACCCAGACACACACCAGTGTTCCTCCTGGCCCCTGGCTTTCCATGCAGCATGCTTCTAGGTATACATGTAAAGGTAATCTGAGGGGGGGTAGGTGGACTGAGACCCTGGGGTACACCGCAGTGTATCAAAAAACACCAGACTTAGATTTAGAGACTGCACTCAGATGACACAAGATGTCCCCTCAAATGATACAGTCTGGATCAGGACAACTACTGCCAGATTTTGATTTCTGCTTTTGAATGTTGTTCTATGGATTGTTGAGGCAATGGTGGAAAATGTGGAAATACTGAAAAAAACCCACAACAAACCAAAACTTAAAGGTTTCTAACATGTTGCCATTGGAGGAGACTTGGATTAGAAGACCATGAAACAAATTTCTGTGCTTGTCAACACTGCAGTGAAGCATAGGGCAAAGTTTCTAACTTCTGCTCCGGCATCATGAGTGAATTAATACATCTAGCTCAGCCCTCAAAGGCCCAAACTATAATTAATACATAAAGCTCACTGTGACTAGATAGTGATTTTAGTTCAGCCATCCCACATACTATCAATATACAGTGAGTGCCACCTGACATGGAACAATTACATATACACTTGAAGGGATAGCTCAGGGTTTTTGCTCTACACTGCACTGCAGTGTTTGAAGGGACTTGTTTCGTGAGAGTTACCCTACTATTTGAGCACAAGAGAGGTATTCCTTTTCTATTTTCTTTTTACTGATCAAACAGATAAGCTAAGAATAAATTTGTGCTATCCCTTATTGGTGTCTATGAATAAAAACCAAACAATAATTGGTGCATAATGATCAAGAGCTTATGTTTCTTTCCTTTCATATGAAATATGCATAGAATGCAAAAGTTCAATCCTATATTTACAGACTTCCACTTACCAGATTTTTATTTCTCCAGATGATTATTTGAACACACTTTTCTCACCCTGAGAAGTAGAATTTGTTTCCAGCAAGAAAAGTCCACAATCTGAGTAGGAGTGAGAATGATTTCTCTGAACTTTGAGGTAGAATAATGGAACCTGCTTTTTAGATCTGCCATTTCCCAGGCACACCCCAGCCAGAGGGCTTGTTAAATACTCTGATTCTGAGACAGTGGCGCATTACTCCACTAGTAATTAATTGTCTCCTTATGCAAAATGGTAGACTTTACTTTAGTGAGTATGAATAATGTAGTAAGTAGTATGAAGTCCTGCTTTGCATTGTTCCTGATAAACTAATAGCAAAATCTACAAAGCTAAACTGCTGAGAGACACTGGATGAACATGACTGCTGCAGGCAGACATTGCTCTGGCACCACTACTAAAAAGGGAGCACTTGGTTTTCCGGGTTGGACTGCCTAGATCTCACACTGCTAGGACAGAGCATATGAAACGTGCAACATTTCATTCAAGCAATGGCACCCTGCAAGCTTGAAGAGCCCATAAGACATCAACACACTGTACCTTCACAACTCTTTTTGTCAGGACCAAGTTCATATCCAGGATCACAGGCGCACTGGTAACTGCCCAGAGTATTTACACAGCGCTGCTCACAGCCACCATTGTCTGGTTTGGCACATTCATCTTCCTCTACCAAGACAGGGAAGAATGCAAAAATGTGTTAAATAATTACCTTTCTCGGCTGTAACTGCTGGATCAATATTAACCCAGAAAGCTGTACGCATGCCATTATAAGGTGCACTGCATAACACGCTGTGGTTGCTGACTAGAGGATTTTTCAAATGCTTAGGAGACCCGCAGTGCAGAAAATAAAAATTTGTCCTTTGTGTGTTTTGTTTTTTGGGTTTGTTTTTGTTTGTTTGGGTTTTTTAATTTATTTTTTTTTAACAATGCCTACTGACAGCTGCAGAACTAAGCACTTTGTGGGCAGCATACAGTAATTCAGGCTGCCATAATCTAAAGGTTGTATAAAGTATTGAAAGAAAGACAGAAAATCCACAGTAGGGTCACTTGAAGGGCACTTTATCTTCCACAGAATCAATCTGTGCATTATCCTGAATTCATACTCAAAAACAGATTAACAGAATCCTCAAATCCTAGGTTTTCATTCTACTGATATTAAAGGCAACAGGATGAATAAGGGCAGGGGAAGGGAAAAGAATTGTGTATTCCCTCTACTAGCTCTGAAGTATACCCATGAAATTCATTGCTAAAATATTGTTTCCTTACACCAGGATAAGTAATTTCTTAGGAATAAAACAGAGCTCCCCCGCTCATGCCTATAGCCTTTAAAGTTATAATTGTTTACAATGAAAACTATCAGTTAGGGTAAGAAAAGCCACAGTTTGTGTCTTTTCAAAAGAGCAAAAATGTTCTTCTGGTGGCATGGCCTGTATTTCAGGTGGCGCCTTGGCCACACCACTGCCAATGGCTTTAACTGTGCCATTGGCAGCACAGGATGGGAATTACACTTCTCACACATCAAATGCTTCAGATATAGCTGCAGTTGTATTGCACCCTCCTCTCCCAAAAAAACACCCCCAAACTGAAGGAAGACTGTGAAGTCATTGCTCACTATGATTTCTCAGGTTTTTTTTACCCCCTTGCTTACAGAAGGTAATAAATTGATAAAGCAGTGTAGTGCAGGAAATGGATTAGAAAAAACCCATAACATTTAGACCAAAAAAAACCCCAAACAAACAAAAAACCTCCTTTAACAGAAAAAAAAAACAGTTGCAATTATAATGTTTGTATTTGATAACACAAGTCAAAAAAAGCCACTTTTTTACAGGATTATATACATTTCAAAACTGAACTGATCAATTGAACCTGAAGACAGTAGAAAGCTGCACTGGTTATGTTCCTTCATCCTTTGGATAAATTACAGGGAAATTCAAATACCTCTATTATCTTGTTTTGATTACATTGTATCCTGGGTAAAAAATATGCTGGAGACTACAGAACTGCCATTAGTAGAAAAAGATTGAGAATTATTTTTAATATCCTGTAATAATTTTTCTAGTACAAAAGAAGGGATAGGTTGTTCATAAATCCCAATATGCTTTAACATTTACCTTTAAAAAAGTTAGCTGCAAAGCCTGCTTTGTTAACAGTTCCATCAGAAACAAACTTCATCCACAGGGTATTAGAGGTAGATCTAATGTCTTCTGGCTTGTCATAGCCACAAAAGTGACCAATTAAAGGACTGTTTTCATTTGTTCCATCTCGAATTTCCAAGTAGTCATATGCACAGTTGTCATGTCTTTCAATCTGTAAAACATAATTATCAAAGTGATATCTGAACCATAAATATCAAATATCAATCAGATAATAAACAGAACTGAAATTTTTCAAAGTTAAGGATAGTATCTCTGTTTAGGGTTAAAACATCAGGAAGATGAACAAGTATCATTTAACTTTTAACTCTGCTTGTTTTCCAAAAGAAAAATTATTGAAATGTTACAAAGGACACAGCAGTCTAACTGGAAAAAAGTAACTAAAAAAGACCCTCTCACCTCTACGCTTCCTAATGTTCTGTCAAATTTCTACTCTGAGCTTAAGTCCTCTTTTCTCATGTACGCTCAACTAAACAATATTAATGGTTCAAAAACTAAACAGGTCATAAATACCCACTGGTTTTGCAATATTAAAAAGCTTAATTTTTATTAATATGATAAGATTTTTAGACTCTTCATCCTCCACATAAGTAAAAATTTTGCATTTGTCACTATTCACTGATGTTGCAGGGTAAAGGTAAAAGATTGCTGAGCATAAAGAGTTTGAGGCATCTGTAGGATTAGATCCAAACTCACTTGTAAAATTATCAACTCTTAAGTAGTCAGCAGAACAGAGGACAAAAAAAGTCATCATTTTTCTGCAGTTGATGTGTCTAGTTTCCGTTGCATGATTCCTGATTTCAGGTGTTGTCTTTTGACTTCCTGGGGCAATGAGTGAATCTTTTCTGTACTGATGGAGAAACCTACTGAAAACAGAACACTTGAAAATTTCCCTTCTCACTTAAACTTTGTGCTGGATGACATCCAAACACAGACTAATATGTGAGTGGGCATGTGTGCATTCTACTTGAGTAACAAACCTTGTGCTCTTTACATAATAGTATTTGCAGAGTCAGTCAGAGTGGGAATTGCACCAGAGAGGAAAGCAGTAGCAGCCCAGATATGACCCTTTGTAGAGCCCAAATAATTTATGATGCTTATCTTTACTGAGAGAGTATCTTTCCCAACAGAATTAAAAACCCTCATCAGCTGGGTTGTTTTACTGCCAGAATACCTTATGTCATTCATACAATATAGAATCTTAGATATAAAAGAATTAACTAGATCCAAGCATTCGAAAATAATTCCTCTAAGAATACTATTGTTCAACTAACTGGTTGAATCATGAGGCAGGTTTAGGAATGGGGGGAAGGGGCAAGGCGGCAGGATCACAGTCAGGTAAAAGGGCTTGGAGAAGCCTCAGATTTAATTCAGCACATCCAAATTCTGTTAAAACAATAACATATTCAAAACCAAACCCAGCAAAATCCATATTTTATCTCCAGAGTTTTTCCTGCACCTAAGTTGCACAGTTAATGCAAGTGTCTGCTGCTGGTCTGCTCTTATTGTGCATTATGACCAACACTAAGCTCAGTAACCACCACAGACTAAGGAGCTTTCACTTAGCACATTAGGATTTCTGCTTCTTTTATATGAGACGGAAAACTGGGGGAAGGGACTGTTCTATTTCATTAGATTTTAATGGCACTTAATATTTCCCTGTCTTTTTTTCAATATTCTAATGCTTTAACCATTTACATGCATAATTTTCTCCCAGTCACTTCTCCATCACAAATCATATTGCCATTTACTGTAATTTCCTAGATGTTTGCTCAGGAATTGCTCTGGACCTGAATTTGGGTCAGAGTGAGAAAAGTCATGAAGATTTGTGATGCAACCACCTATTGCTTATTTGAGTGGCAACTGCATATTTACAACTAATCCACTCAGGAATGTATCTACCTGAGCACTGCTAAGTTTTTGATAACATCAATTCCAAATTTTCATTAATCTAAATAATAAAGATTAAATACATTATACATATTCCAATTTGAAACAAAGTCTGCCTTGTTGTCGCTGTAAAAATCATCTGCACTCTGACGTAGGAAGAAGTGAACTGGTCCAAAGACCACTAACATCAATGAAAGAATTGTGCATTTTCCCCACAGGTCTGTGGTTATTTCGCTACTCAAGGTTTTTAATTAACTTCACTTTTTTCCATGTTTCCATGTTTTATGGGCAATATGGAAATTATGATTTTCCCAGCCTAGTGCGGCTCTGAGTTGCATGTGCCAAATTCCCACTGAGGTGAATTAGTAGTTTATTTTCAGTGGATCACTTTATTTTGGGCAGAAGACAACAGCTAAAAATATATTTTGCATAGCAGTAAGTTTCTAAACTTCCTAAGACTGTAAAAATCAACCAACATACAAAGTAATATTGATTTAAAAAAAAAAAGTAGCCATTCTAACATATTTATTTAATTTTAGCATATTACTAGTGCAAATAATGCCATTATTATTATCAACATTATTATATTAAGGGATTGAAGTGTTACACCTATATATAACCTAACAGATAAGTATAGCAGTTTTGAGAAATTATAACTGGTATTAAGGCACTTGGTAACCAGTGAGAAAGAACTAATATAAAATGTGCTATAAAATGTGCTTTTCTTATCTGTACCTCAAGTTTCAAGATGTTGTGGTACTGTCACCTGGGACCACTGCCATACAAAGATCCATTATACTTGCAATAGTCTCTTATTCCTCCTACTTACTCCTATACTTTCTAACCTTCCTATTCTCTCTCTTATTCTTCCTACTTCCTATTTGTTTCTTCCAAAATATCTCCTCTAGTTAATGAAGAGACCCTTAGGGAGTTTGGTTGTAACTGGACTGATCCCATAAACCTTACTTACTGGAAGACTAAAATTTCACAAGACTGATACTACATGTGGATGAGAGGAAATATGTGAAATGTTAGCAAATTAAAAAAAACAAACATAAATAAGAATGTTTTACAGAAGAATGCAATTCCTATAAGAAAATGAAAGATACCATTGGCTCCTGAAGGCCTGGGAGGAAACTCTAAATTTGAATAGCATTAGAGAATTAAATTGTTAAAGAGACAGAAAAACTCTTAAGACAGGCACATAAGTGTAGGAAAACACTAAGAAATCTCCCAGAGAAATAGCAAGCCAGAGACATTCTCAACATTCATTGTCAAAAGAAAAGAAAATTCCTTGTATGTAGTTCAAGGTTTGAGAAAAAAGAAAAAACAAACAAAAACAAAACAAAACAAAACAAAAAATCACAAAAAACCCAAACCAAACCAAAAAAACATCCAACCCACAACAAACCAAACTACAATGACTTTAGACTAAAACATATTTGATTCCAAATTCCAGAGTACTTTTGGTTGTAGCACTCCTCCAACAGAAAGAAAAAAAGGTAAAAAGTTTAAATTAAAAAAAGAATCCCAAACCTACAAAAACAAACAAAAGGATAGAAAGGGATATGAAGAGCAAATCTGGGAGCAACTCTATTTCAGGAAAAATCTTCCAAATACTTTTTGTCATTGTTAATTTATTTGTTCACAGAGTCAAACTGCAGTACAGGTAAGCATATCTGCCTCAGGTTGTAGACTTTAATCATAAAAAGTGGTGTATATGCCTAGTGGAATCAGATCAGATAAATTTTATTCCCTGACTTATGTAAAAATAATTTAAATGAATACTATCTGCACAAAGATTAACAAGGCAACTCAAATGAGGCAGATTAATATGGATCAGCTCTACAAACCCTCTGGATTGCCTTAGCTGGTGAGACTGTGTGCTAACAAAAGTTCTTAAAAAAAACCCCAAACAAACAAACAAACAAAAACAGAACAAAAAAACCAAACCAAAATGCAAAAACAAACAAACAAAAAACCCCCCTGCCAGTTTAGAAAGACCAGTATTATAAAAGTGACTATAACAATCAAAAAGATGGAGTTACCAGTCCCAACATCCCTACTGCCATGCAGATTGTAGAAATTATAGTAGCTAAACAAGAGAGAGTAATCCCACACTCAGTGGGACTTTGCCCACAGCAGGCAAAATAAGATGACTCACTGATACAGTTTGGAAGTCTCAGCTTCCCTAGCGCTTTCATTTCTGAGTAAAGGTTATTTATACAGTTATTTTTTCTAGTATTACATATGGATAATGAGAATTCCTCTTACTTAACTGTACCTTTCAAAGGACAGAGAAGTAATTTTCCCACAAACACACTGCAATAACTCTTTGGCCTGACATTTGCTTTCTTCAGTCTCAGCTGGCACAAAGAATTGTGATTTTTTAAACAACTTTTTGTTTTACTGGGCAGCGCACCAAGGATTCAGTCCAGAGAGGGACTTAGTATCAGAAAACAGAACACCTATGTTCAAGCACTTGGAGCTGAAATGGAAATCAGACCCAATGGTGAGTGTCTATCAGAGCAGTTTCCAAAGCAACTCTCATTCTCAGCAGGGAGCCCAGTGGTAGAGTCAGTAAGAAATGCTGCAAAGACAGATAGAAAAGCCTTGTGCCTTTCTGGGGCACCTCATTTGGTGCTGAGGGGCATCTTGCGACTCTGGAATTACAGTTCAGACTCTCCCGGGAAAAGTATGTAGCTTTCAAGTCCCTATTGTTGGAAAAGTTTGTTTTTTCCTTTCAAAACACATGCAGCAGAACCACCAACTTGAGACTACTGCTGAACTATACTCCTGCTCAATTTCCTCTTTCTTCTTATGAGGTGTCGGTCCACATGTTTCTCCTCTAGAGAGTGCCATAATACTAAATAGACTAGGGGAAAAACTGGACATTTCTTCCTACATCCTTACCCACTTGCCTACTAAATTGTGCTTTTTTGCAGGTCCTTTGCTTCTAATTATTGCCTATATGGTGAGGTGTGAACATGCCATCTTCACACTTGTAAATAGTCCAAAATTTGGTGATTACAAAAAGGTCCTGAAAGATAAGGAGAGATGTAAGTTTAATTCTCCCAGAGGTGGTACTGAACTGAGGTCAGCTCAAGTGATAATGTATTGCATGTGTAAACCATTGCTGAGCAACTGCATGGAGATCAAATATTGCAGCAAGTCTCTTTTGCAGAGGCATAGTGACATTTCCCTTGTGATCACACTAAAAAATGCTGTGCACCACTGGAAGACTAGAAAAGCTCCATATGTGGCCAGTAAATTACATAAAATTATTGAAAACGTTCATTTTTAACAGTGCTTAAATAAAGAGACTGACACACTATGTTAAGCAATCTTGAGCCAAGTCATGCAGACTCGAAGGCCATTTGGCAATACATTTGGGCAGGGTGAGCTGATCTTATCTGCACTAGAAGTGACACTGATTCAGGATTTATAAAAAAAGGGAAAATTACATAGAATCTTTGACATTTTTAAAATTTCTATACTTTATATTCATAATTGCTGCAAAAGTCCCAAACCCTCACTCTCATGCTCAGATCTTTCATCAGTCATAGCAAAAGTGTGCCATAACCCTGAAGTCTGTCCGTAAGACTAAAATGAAAGGTTAGAAATTCTAGTTATGTTTAGTATATCTCTGTTCACATACACCAGAAAGCCAAAAGGTTTAGATTTTTAAAAAATGTGCCTCATGTCACTACTGCTAAAGCATATTAAAAAAAAAAAAAAAAGTAAACTCGAAGTGTTTTACTAAATTTATCTAAAAACTTCAAGTCAGTGTATAGTGTAAGAATAAAAAAGGCATGTGAAACATTACTTTTCCTTTGCTATGTAATAGTTTACCACTGTTTCACAATGTTATACTCAGAGAGATGTACACTAAAGATATAAAAGTATGACTCACCATGGCTTTTTTTCTTCCCTCACTAAATATAGGTTTGTAATCTAAGTTGTTTGGGGATTTTTTCTTCTCAAAACAGAAGCTAAAACCCACATATTCCTTTTTAACTATAAGATTTAGCAAAGATAAAAAAGTCCTGGTTATTTAACAGAATATTACAGTAGCCTGCTGAACTGGATTATGTATCTGGTAAACTTTGACTATTTTCAATACTTTAAACATTGTCATTCAAATATCATAGAAAACATGAAAAATTTTAATCTTAAAAACTTCTGCGGGAGGGAAGGTTTCATGAGTTCTGGAGTTAATTTTTCATAGAGAATTCTTAAATAAGTACTTTAATAAGTATTCCCTTAAATATCACTGTCACTTATCCACTAGATGCTTTCCTGAGATTAGTTAAAAGGCTTTACCTCAAATGCTTGAAAGGTTAATCCTACATTGTAGTTTTCTGACACTGTTATTTTCCACACACATTCCTTCATTGGTCTGTAGTCATCAGGGTAATTGGGAGACTGGATCTGGCCTTCATTTTTGTGGATTTCACCTCCACAGATAGCTGATAAAAGCATAAAATTTTTGTTGTCAATAATTTCCCCACACCCAAACGGTATTCTATGCTCCCATTTTTAAAAATAATAATAAGATTGTTCTGGAAAACCCTTAAATCTACAAGGGACAAGTTACTGGAAACACAATCCATTTAAACCATTATATATCTTTCAGTTAGCACATATCAGCATTTCTAATGGCTCTAAACATGTCTACAATGTTCAGGAAGACTCTGTAATCATGGATAATCGGAATCTATACATTTTACAGAATATAAGGTCATAAAATAAGGTCAAAATAAATTAAATTTTTGTTCACCCTTGAAATACATTAAGTAAACATTATTCATTAATATTTACTAACCTTTAGAAAGAGACAAAAGAAACCAAAATGTCATATTTTATAACAGTCTATGCATTTTAACCTACAGTTTATCACTTCAACCTTAGACCGAATTTGAAGAAACAGCTAATATAAATAAAAAAGTATTTTAACGAAAAGTAAATGCACTTTTCAGGGTCCATTCTGATAATCATGTAAAGATCTCTGCATATCAACTGAATCATAACATTTACTACCACGGATTCATTATTTAAGAAAATAGGCTCTATTTTAAATAAGTGAATGTTGACTTGCTAATATACTCAGTGTGTGAGAGTGCTTTTATTAAATAATCCCAGTGCATATGGAAAATATAAGTCAGATTTTTCTGAAGAATACACAGAAAGTACTCAAAGGAATCTTTCCAAGCACTAAGCACAAGAACATGCACATTTAGTTAATTAAACAATTAGTAAAAAATGCTTATGGATAGTATCAGTGGTTTCCCTGGAAAAGAGCTCAGCTAAAATCTGATCACAGGAGGAGCTTCAAAACGCCCTGTCTAGAAAGTTAACACCTACTGTCTCAGTAATAAAATACCAATTTTGTATTGGTTTGTTGTTTTTTCTAGTTTTGTTTTTTAATATCCCAAGGTATCGGGTTAATATTTTTCCTCCATAATCAAGTCATTTTTAATGCTATAAGAGGCTTACCTTCATAAATTGCTGCAAAACCTTTCCCAACCCAGTTGCTGCTGCTGCGGAACTCGATCCACATCCTGCTGTCAGAGGATGCAAGGACTTCTGGCAGTTTGTCACCACAAAACCTGCCTAAAAACATGCAACCAGTAACTGCATTTTCTGCCGCCTCTGAAGCCAAATGCTGCAAACATTTATACAAGTGTTTAACATTATAAGCAGAAGTGGCAGAACCAAGTTAGTGGAACTATTCATATGCTTATGGTTAAGCATGTGTGTTTCTGCAGATCAGGACCTAATACACAAAGATTTTATTATAAAACTTTCACTACTTCTTTTTATTGCAGTCAGGTTCACAAGTCTAAAACCTTAGGGGAATTAAGGAAAAAAAATTATTGTTAGAGATTGTTTCTATACACACAAACACATGCACTATGGAAGGGGAAAGTGAGTACTAATCTTAAAACAGGAGCACAATCTAGGTCACAGTAATACTGCTCATTGTGTCTAAGGACAAAAGAGATTTGAAAACTAACATCTAAATGACCCTATTCTACATTATCCTCTTAAATTCTGCCTAGGTGAGTGAAATTTCTGTTTTTCTAGGTGACAGGGAATGGGAGAAAAGTATAATTACTGTCTGGTCTTAATTGTTTATTCCTTCTTTTCTGTTCAAGGCCAAGAAAATAGACATTCCAGTTTAAAAGCTGTTGTCTGTATCTGGGCAGTAGCATTATGGGGGTGAAATCTCAGTTGCTATGCAAACATAATTCATTACTGCTTTGCAGGTATTTTCCCTGCAAGAGCAGGGAAGGAAATATAAAGTAGAAATAGAAGCAATCTTCTATTCATAATTTTAAAAGTACAGGAACAAAGCTCATAACTACTACTCTGTACCAGGTTCTCTCATTCACAGTGAACGTGCTTATCATGTGATCCATGGATTTAGCATTACATGATCTACAGATGTCTGTAAACTATTACTCCATTTCTGTGAACAAAACTCTGGCAGCTTCTTATTTTGACATCCATAAGCAAAGGAAGAAGTTGTACAGTTTGTAGTTTGCATCTTTCCTCACATGGAGCTGCGTGAAAGGAAGGCTTAAGGCTTGAAGTAAATAAATAACTTATTTGAGGCCATTTAGAGGATTTTTTTTCCCATCCCCAGGTTTAGATACATTATAGACACCTAAAACCCAAGAGGTTTGTTGTGGATTCACCAGCAAGTCCAGTGAGCCCAATGAGTGTGGGAACAATAGACAGTGCAGCATTTAAGAGTTGCATACCAAGCAGAGGGGATTTTCTCCAGTAGCCATCCCTTACTTCAATATAGTCGTACCAACAGAGACTGCTCTTGTAAAGGTCCATGGTGGTGAAGTTTAAAACAATCTGTAATTGGAGGAGAACATCTAAATAAATCAAGCGTGATTAATATCCGAAAAACAATCACAACAACCTTCTGCAGAACTGAAGCCAGAGTGGTCACCTATAATGGGACTCCAACTATTTAGACACTTAATAACAACTCGTCAATTATTTCTTCTGGTAAGTAAAAGTTGCTCTTAAAAAGGTTTGGCTTTTTTGGGTTTTTTTTTTTTTTCATTTAATCTTACATACTTAAGCAGATTCAAGACAAACTACTCACATTTAATTGCTCATGGGGAGCTTTTCACTAAGAAGTAAAAACTTGAGAATGCTAATAAGGGAAAATAACTTGCTAATATAACTTTACGTATGGTACTTCATAATTCTGCCAATTCCTCTTCCATTATGTTCTGACTATAATCAACACTGATAGCTGCAAGAAATATAAAAATTGTTCTATTTTAGTTTGTGCTTCCTTCCACTACTGCTTTGACAAGATATTTTGTTTTTAGACATGTAAATATTGACAATGGTGGACAGTAATTCTGAAAGCAAGATCACTAAAAAGAAATGGCACCCAGTCCCTTAATGATTTTACTGAAAATATAATAATTTTTATATAGAAATCTGAGAAATTTCTGGAACTTTTGATCTCAGACTCCCAATTTTATTGAAAACATCTCTAAACAGGACTATTTTCAATACTTACTATGAGGACAACCCTTACATTAAATTACAGTATCCCTGTTTTAGAAATGCTAATCCTAAACTGCCAGAAACTTACAGTTTTAACACAGGAATAGGATTTATCCCGATCACACATTGACACAATAGCTACAGTTTAAATCCTCAACTGGCTGGTATAGTCTTGCTCTTACATCCTGCAATTACAGGGAGAAATCCAAACAAGAAGAGTCAAAGTCTCTCATATTTTGTATTATAAGATCATTTCCAGTTAATACCTTTCATTGGATTTAGGTGTATTTAGAAAAAGAATTCATCTTCTTTGGTATCAGTTCCTCAGTGTATATAAATAATTATTTCAACCTAACTAAAATTCTTCTCTATTCACATTTGAGCATAGAAGTGGTATTACTTTTTTTAGCTTTGATCCTAGGAACTCACAATTGAAACCTGCCATTATAGAACAAGCATGAATTGCTGCACAGTGGCAAATACCTCACACTGCAAAAATACATCTCCATGGCAGCCTATGAAACAGCTGTGAGTGTCAGTTGAAAGGAGAGGAATTTACCCTTAGTCCAGCTGCAAGTTAAAAATAACACCATAACTGGAACAATGAACCCAGACAGTCAGACAGGATAGTTTACCTCCATCTCTCAAACTTCTAGCTTACGTGCACCCTTTCACAGATATCTAAACCATGGGACATTTTGCCTTTACTACTCAGGCAGTCTTTCAGGAATATGTATCGAAGAAATAAATGCGCAAATACTGTCAGAATTCCTAAACCACTTACTTACCATGTAATTCTCCATGAGAAATATACAGATCTGGCTAAAAGTACAAACATTCATATGCTTTACTCTGCTTCAGTTTCTTATTACATTTCCAAGTGCTACTTGAATCTACCTCAGAGGATGGCAGAGAGATCATTCTCTTATTCACAGAGCAATTCTGGCTGTCCTTTGCAGACTTGTTCTCCTTCAACTTGTCCTTCAAATAAAGAGGCCACACCAACCACATAACTTTTGTTCTCCTTAGATCATCCACTTTGCAGTTCAGATTCCTTCTAAACTCCTACTTTTTTTTTTTGTCTCAAACCATAGGTAGGTATCTCTGTATCTAGCCACATTACTTAAAAACCGTACTGACCTCATCGGTCTCATCCTTTTCCACCCACAACGACTTCACCCTATCTGTGCAGTCAGAAGGGTTTAGAAGAGGGAGCCTTTTTATTTGCCCAGATGAGATGCAAACAGCTGGGTTAAGTTAGGCTGCCTTCCAGAGCTGCTTAAGCTAACCCAGCTGACTCTGTTGGAAGCAAGCTATGGAAGCCATAACCCATATCTCCTCCATTGCTTCAGCTGTGTAGAGCCTGGAGGTCTCTCACCAGTCTAGCCACAAGTTTTCCACCTTCTGTGATACAGCTGAAACATCGGATTTCTCTATTCTTTTTTTGGAAATTTGCCTTTTTCCAAACCTTAGTTGCCAGGAACGGGTTAGGGAATGGATGGTTTTACTTAGGTGTGATCATGTCAATGTCTCAAAGTGCTGCTACCTAAATGGAAATGATTAAAATTTCATGAGCCTCCTCTACAGCCCCCACCTTTGAAACTACATGAAATAACCTTCACAGTCTTTTCTCACTCTGACATGCCAAGGTATTTGATGACACAGCAATTTCTTAACATTGACCTGAATGCATTACCTGTACATAGGCAGAACCCCCAATCTGTCACAGCATGATTTCTGGTCAGGAACCAAACAAATGTAAATATATTTAAGATTCTGATTTGCAGTTCTGCAGAGTATTAAACATAGCTACAGACAAGGCAGAGCTTGTTTGAGGCAACAGGACGACTAAGAGGCTCCAGAGGAAAAACAATCAATGGGTATTTGTCAGCACAATTAAAGAATTACTGATTACAAAGCAGTTTAAGTTGTGCTACTGCAGCTTCAGAGAGAATATATCGTAACTCCTACCGCCTGAGATAAGAAAGCACAAAATACATAAAAAACACCAGGTAATATTAAGTTTTCTGTAGGTAGCATTTTTTCCCCTATATCAATCTATCTAAGATTTTTCTGTCCTATTTTATCGTTCATGTAAAACCTTAAGAAAAATTGAAAAGTAATGTAACATATTCAAAAGGGCAGATTCAAACAAGACACTGGCACAGTTGTATCTCCCTATGCCAATAAACTTTCTACACACCAGGAAGAGGGATTTGCCCTGGAGGAGGGCATACAGCATTACCTCCCTCAGAGATTTTTCTGTATATAGATATACTGCGTACAGCTGTTTACCATATAGTCTCAAATCTTGAAAATAAAAGGTGAATGGACTGCCTTGTTTTACTCATGGGAACGCACACATTTTAGGTTGGGCTGGCAATTTATGATGTCTTAAGAGTAAAAGGAATTCTGCAGCTAATGTATACCACTGCAGTCCCACCCTTCATTAAATTTCTGGCCATGAAAGACTAGAAGAATCCTTACTTGCAGAAAGCAGCACGCATAAAAGTTCTCTGAACTATGCTTAACCATCTATGTTAAATCTCAATAAATAAGAGACAAGAGCTAGACAACGCTTTTTCAGTTTATTTTTAGGTGACTGAAGTGCTCACTGACACTTCAGAACATGATGTGATGTACTTACATGTACTCTAACTTCCACACAACATTCCTGAGATTTATCAGGGTCAAAGCAGCAAAGCAACAAAAATTGAAATATATTCTCATTTTCCCTACATCATGTGAATTTGTTATCACCATTTACTGAGAAAAATTGGAATCAAGCATAATGCATATCCAAAGTACCATGCATTAGCTAAGATTTAGACATCATGGCTAGGGGTCCTTTATCTCAAGACAGCCAATATTCTGTTGGAATAGCCTGGACAAAACAGACTTTCTAGCACAAATACCCTTTACTTCGCTCTTGCTGAACTATGTGGAGACTATGAGAGCTGGAGATCATAACATTGCCCTATGGACATGACTTGTCAATTTTCAATCAGAAAATTCTGCTTAGTCTTTTTCCCATTTGGAGCAGCAGGTAAAATGGGAGAGGAACCAGCCCTCTTACACTGCTGACTTCAAGACAGGGGCTTTCTCCTGCTAAGTTCTTTTACAACATAATAGAGCTCGAGTGGTGGTTTCAAACTCAAGACATAATGGCAATACAAATGTATGACCATTACACTAGTGTCCACAGATAGGCTGACACAAAATTGGAGTATGCTATGAATACTTAAGCATGAACAATAACTCATTATATGAATATTGTTTTAAAAAGCAAATAATTGTAGATAAACTTTTTTTTTTTTTTTTGATGGAGGGATGGAAAAGAAACCTAAGCCATTTTCACTGTTATCCCAGCAATGTCTAAGAAGCAACACAAATAGTGGGAACATAAAATTACCTATCTAGACTAATTTGCATCCTTTGTGCAAACTGTCTCTTATTCATCTGATTTCATTTGTTTTTCCCTGACAAACTGTACAGCCACCCATGCCCTCCCAGCACAGTGTCTATTTTTCCTCCTGTCTCTGGCTCTTGCCCAGAGGAAAGCAAACACTTTGCCAAATGATTTTGCTTTCAAACCCCACAGTGGCAAATGCTCCTACAGATCCTCAGGATCTATTAAAACATCAAGAATATATATCCTTGGCATCTACCAGGATGCTGACCTGAAAGCAACATGGAATAAAGTAATACAATCAGGAGAAAATTATGTCTGATATACATACAGTGGAAGACCACTGAAAAAACTGACTGAAATATCTGGGGGCAAATGCACTCTTTGGAATGTCCAGTACTGAGTCTCATGTTAGGTTCTATATTTGTTTTTTAGATTCTATATTTTAGCCTATAGTATTTGACTTCCTGATATCAGCCACTGTTTCATGTAATGAAACTTACATCCTTTTTTTCCTTCATAACTTGTCTCAGCTGAAACTTTTCATCACTCCCTTTATCCTAATTTATTTTGAAGCAGCCTGATATTTGAGCCAGTAATTTAAAACAAGATTCAGCTAGCACATTTTGAAAGTGTACACAAGAACAACAGCTTTTGCTTTCACTAGGACGGCACGCTTCTCTCCCCAAGCCCATTTTTTTCCCTACTTTTTTCCCTGTAAAACTGATCCCCACAAAGTAGAACCATATGCACTAGAACCAATACCAGGGAACACCTACAATGACACTTTCTTGACTTCATGTTATTACTGTTTCATTTTAGAAACATCTTATTCAACACACTAAGCTTCCTTAGTTATAGCCCAGCTATCAGCTCCACACCGCTCAAGCAGTTTGCCTGAGCCCATGCTGGAAAAACAACTATTCAGTAGCCTGAACCACCTCTTCCACTTTACACTGAACCACAAACTGAACTGGGAGCCATTTTTAAAGGGATTTCATTACACAAACATACAGCAGATAGAAATCATATCTTCATCTCACAAGGACATCCATCGAATAGATGATGTGGATTTAACACCACAACAAAAGTCAAGTCAATAGTACATAGTCGATGGTCCCATTTTTTATGACATACTATTATTTTCAATTATTATTCATATTTTAAACTTAATGAAAAGCTAAAGAAATGTAACATTTTACTCTGAAAATAGTATCTGTGTTAACTAAAGAAATGTTAAAATACCTTCTCTCCTGGGGTCACAGAGATTCTCCATATGCAGTGTGTGTATGAAGGATAACCATTTGGAAATCCAGGAGAAGAAAAGTTGCCTGTAGATTCTTGCAACGTTTCTCCACAGGCTAAAAGAAACAAATTACAATTAAAAAAAAAAATACAATGTGCCTAACAGAGAAAAATGCATCAATCCAATATCTACTTGGAATACATTTAATTCACGGCAGATGCAGAATGGAAAAAAACCAGTTAGTTTATGATTTATTCAAAGCAATGATTTTAAGCCAGTCTGACATTCATTCCATTTTACACAGGATATTTTTATTCCATGAACTATTTCACTTGTGTGTTGTCTGCTGATATAACCAAAATTACAGCAGACTCAAAAATATCACTGCTGTCAATCAACAATGCTGCAACACTGTACCTATAGCTACTCTGGTAATTAAAAAAAAGTTGGATGTAGACATGTCCTTTAGGAACTAAAACAAATGCTGGCACAGCATGATTGGCACCACATTGAAATTTTGTCAGTGGTTTTATTTAATATAGTACTTTAACCACATGAGAGACTGATCTGACCTAAACTCACTCACTTATATTGGTATAGAAAATGAAATCCTATATTCAACAAAGTCTCTTGCAAGAGTGATTTGTAGATATATGAGTATTAAAAGCAAAGCAAATATAAAGTCCTAAAATACCAAAGAGCTTTTATATTCTTTATTGTTGAAGCTTTTAGCACTCATCTCTCACCTGTCAATCATGCTGCTAGCTGTTGTTGGACTGGTTAATAAAGCCTCTTCACACTAAAATATAACATTGGAAGGTCCTTCCATTCTCCACCATTAAAACAGATTTTGGTACAGTGTCACACCTCAGTCAGTCATCTTTTTTTGATCTGAAGCAAATTGTTTCACCCACTAATTTTGCAGGTGTGATACAAGATATGAATCTGAGTATATTATCCCATGACTGACAGCATAATCAGACCTGCATTGCTTTCAAATGACAGCGCTACCATTACCAGCAGGTGAACAACTGTGTCATCAAAATACCAATGAATTATAAATGATCTGGAAAATCTTTAAATAAAAGGGGACAAAGGAAGGGATTTTTTTATGACAAAGATAGACAACACAGTTGTAAAGGCTGTCTTATTAAAATGCATCGAAGATGTAATCTGACAACTACACTGTAATACCAGGCGTAAATTACATTCAAGGCATTAAATATGCTCTCTGACACTCAAATGGTTATCGTGATGATGAAAGAAAGGGAAGACTGGCACAGCCCTCCAGAAATGTAATGACTAAACCAACCATCACTCTGTCCTTTAGGAATGAAACAGGAAAAAAAAAATATTCTTCTCCTCATTTCAATTAAAAAATGTGGTTTTATCTTCAAAAAATTGCAGGCAGCCATAGCAAATGACATTTCTGAACAAAGCCTTTTCAGTAAAAAGGCTATATTTGTAATTAACCACAATTTATTTTTAACACAGTGATGAATGCAAAATTAAATAAATTGCAGAGCCTTGTACTGGGTTTCCCCAATGCTAGTGGACTATATCATAAGCTTACAGTGCATAAGTAGAGCACTTTGGAGAAAGCCTTCAGTAAAATCATTGTCTCATAGAGGACTAAAAGAGAGCCTCATCCCTTTTAGAGCCCTCTCTGTTTTTCCCCCCACACATGCCTTCATGAAGACTGCATCAACCTGCTCTCAAAAGGCATACAATCATATTTCAAGCTTTAGTACAATTTCCATTTGCTCTGGCTTTATCTATTTCACTGACACTACTAAGCAAGCCTTGAGCAGAGGACATATTAAGCAACAGGGAATGCTGCTTTTTAACTGTAACTTCGACTCTCAGTTATTGACCACGAAGTCATGCAATGCACACAGCCAGGTAATGTGAAGTATGTAACCAAACAAAATGCTATCAAGTGTGTGACACATCTATTCAAATGCAGCCCTGCAATTAGTAAGAAGACAGGAGAAAGACTTCTTACTTTACAGAAGTCCCTAAACTACCCTATATAAAAGAAAAAAAACTAATTAATTAAGCATAATAGCTTTACATCTTAAAAATGTTCCAGAATTTTTCTGTCTTATACAGAGGGCAGCATTATTTTCTCCAGAATATTAGGAACACTCCATGCTCCATATACAGAAGATGTATATAACTTAAAACTATGGCTTTTAAGTTGCAAAAGGAGCTATGGAACATTCTTCTTCCCCATGTATTATAGAACAAAATTATTTAATACAACATTTTACCTTATATCCATATTAAATGCCTGAGAGGTCTCTATCAAATCAAAATTTCAGAAATAGGTCTACATTTAACAGAAACGTAAGAAAAGTTTTGAATACATAACTTTTACTGAGAATTAACACAATTAGAATTTAAAAAATACACTCAAGCTTTATCTGGTTTGCCATATTTATTTTTTAATTTAAAATTTCTGATTACTCAAGGGAAGTTTAACAAGAACAGCTTGCACCAATCAACAGTTGAATTAATTATCTATGGGATCTGAGTTCCCGTGTGGCTTGCAGAGCTGCTGTAGATAGGGCAATATTTTTTAATTTCTTGTTGAAAAGTACATTTCTCTGCAATGGGTCAATGGTAATTGAAACAGTTAAATTTTATCACTAGAGAAAATAAAGGTTTTCTTTGTATTTCGACTGTAGCAACTGTAGTATTCATTATTAAGCTTATAAAATGGAATATTATAAACTTTTTACTGTAACAGCCCACTAGTAATAAAATCCACTTTGGGAAAGAAAATGTGGAAGGAAAATGAGTGGTAAGGGCCACTTATTTAAATTTCCTAAGAACTAAGTATACTTCACATCAGAAGATATCAGTTACAACTTCAGTCTTGTACAGCTCTGCTTTATAAAGCATTTGTATATTTTTATTCCTTTGTTAATAATTAACATTACCTTTCTCTGATGCTTTTTCCCCCCTTTCAAATGTCATGCCTTATATGAATTTTACTAGGCTAGACCACTTGCAGAAATGCCACTTTAATTCTTTCCACACATAGAGTACGCAAAAAAGCTGATCTTCTCTCTATTCTACAGCTTGAGAAAGTTAGGTTTCTGATAAGAGTTTCTGTGGTAAGGAATAGGAAACTATTCTTTCTTCTCCTTGTAAAGATTGCAGGCAGCAGGTAGATTAAATGCTTATACAAAGTAATTTGCACCAGTAAAGTCTGCAGGAGTGTTTAATTACACAACCTGTGTATAACACCTCTCTGGGCTGGCCTACACACACAGTCAAGTTCCATCAGGGATTACAATGAAATCTGCAAATGATGAAGCCCAGATCCTCCAGGACACTTAGGGAACCAATTCTCATTCCTTTGTACATAGCACTAGCAAATACATACTCTCATATATGGCTAATTTAATCTTACCTTTTTCCAAAGAGAAATAAGATCTGTAACACTTCCTACTTAGACACAGGTCTGTACAACTATACATATATGGCATATAAAGCTGCCACAGAGCCCTAAAAATATCTACTACTGATCGTGTACTTGTTAAATCAAAAACTTAAATCAGTTTACTACAACTCGGTGTCTTACTAATGACTTGATTCCCTTTAAAGTTATAGGGAAATGGTCTTAACCTAAAAATCTTAATCTTCCTTATGCAGCAAATAAAGGCTGACTTCTGAAAGCTGAGAGAGATGGCAGCAAGTTAAGACTGAGGAACAGTGAGAAGAGCACAAAAAAGAGACAGGCTAGGTATCCTTCTTCTGTTCTCTTCTGCACACACTGTCACAAAACCAGGCAATTTGTAAATTTGCTGAACTTCATCCATTCACCTTCTCTTCCTCTAAACAGCCTTCTCCCACCAGTGTGAGACATATGTTACTCAGTCCCACTCTACCCACTTACTTCTTCTTTTCCTCTCTTTCTGCATAAGAGTATCCTTCTCCATCATTTGCCTTTCTTATTCTCCTGCTCCTATGAATTCCTACATATGAATTTTAAATCAACTACAATTTCCATATAAAATTGTAAAGGCAGACCCATGTTGAAATTTTCCTAGCATCACCAGAAGAAAACCCATTCTTTCACTCCATTAGACTGTCTAAAATACACTGTAATACATCCAGCCTTGAAATCCAAGTTCTGTCCTCCAATACCAAGACACTCAAAATTCAAAATAAGATTTTTAAAGGAATGACTCTCAACTTAGTTGCTTTCTTTCTCCTTATTATTCCATTGTGTAACACTACAATTTGGTATGAAAATGTAACAGATCCCTACTAGCAACTATGCTTTCCTTTGACAAAAATCCTAAGAAAAAGTTAAAAACAAACTAAAATTGCTGTTGCTAATTTTTTGAGTCCTGGTACTTACCTTCTAAAAGGCCAGTTATCAAATCTCATGCCTTGGCTTCCCCAGTCTCAAAACTGTTTCTTGGACACTAAATGCTTTCCTGAATAATGACCCTGAATATCTTCACTAGTTAAAAGACCCTGGAGGGCTCAGGTGCCTCACTGCTGTGAGGAACATTTCTATTCACGAGCAGCCCTGAGCTCAACTTCATGTTCATGGGCCCTAGAAAATGCCTTGGACCAGAAACCATTTGCAGGAATAATTATAACTCCAAACAAAACATGCACAATACCAGAAAATCCTTTATCATAGAAGAGTGCATCTCTGAAAAATACTGATTAAGACATTGTTTTCTGTGTTTTCATTGCATTACATTTAAAGCAACACAAATGAAAACATTAAACAATGCAGATATTATTAATGAATTATTATTATCTTTTGTCTGAAAGAGGAAATAAAACATACCTCTAAAAGCAACACAGTGTCAGGGATTTTATTGCTATATACTACAACGATTCACATGATTATTTGCATAAAACCAAAAGCTTCATGTCTGTCTGAATTTTTAGTCTCAGTATTCGCTGGAAAATTTATTAGAACACAAGTATTGTACAACTTTCATAGACTTGTCTTCTCTATTGGATGTTTAAGTTTGTGTTGTCTTATTCAGCTACACAGTTTCCATTAAAAATATTAACTGAAAAAATAGCATTTAAAATAGTATGCTATTTAACATTTGTAGAAAAACCTTCTGCCTATTTTTCTCTCTTAAAACTCACTTTCTTTTATGGCATAGCTCATCTAAGTAAGGGTGGAAAACCAACGTCTTTTATCCCAAAGTTTGCCGAAGCTAAGTGCCAGAAAAGAAGCATGATCCCTCAACCATCGTTCATTTTTATGATCCATCTGACCCGTGTTCACTGGTGCCACAAAAATAGCTTACTTTTAAAGTGCATGCTGCTGCTGCTGCTGCACAACTGTGGTTTTAAAATACTGTGAAACTAACTTTCAACAAGACTTTTGAGACACTGAAAAGAATAACTCATCAGTACACGTTTTCATTACATATATGAAAAGCACATTTTTTTTTGAAGAACCATTTGAGCATTAGCTCAAAAAGCACATGGCATCTTTTACAGTTGACTGAAAGTCCATGTTAGAGTATTACATAAATACTAAACAGCTCAGGCTTTAGTAACTTTTTTTCTTTTCATAAGATACTAGCTATTCTCACAGTGGTTTTACTTCTATAGACTATTTTTTTCTCCAAAATTTTTCCTTTATCAAAATATATATGTATTCTCTGTGTTTATGAAATTGTTGCTCTCTGTATACTTTCATTAGAAATAATATGCCAAGAGTGTAGTTATTAAAACACACTCTTGTACCATAAAGAAAGAGCAAAAATTGTTCCCAAAGGAGCAGTTGTTGAAGAAAATATATTAGAATGGTTTTTCCTCCAGTAGGCCCAGAAGTTCTGTGCATGTTCTCAGTATATAGAAGACTATGATTCAGCATACTTACAGCACAAAGGAAAGGCGTATTTCAGCTGTAAAGTGTATATCAAATGCACATCAGAATCAGAATTCCCAGATCTTCAGTAGATTCCATTGCTGCTGATACAAATTTACTTTACTTTAGTCCTGATCCCTTTCTTTAGTCCTTCTGTATTGATCAGTCGATTAAATGTAGCCATATATTTAACTTAAAACTGAGAGTTCATTAATTCCCACGAGGAGCAGTAGAGCTGTAAAACCTATGTGGCACAGAGCTGGTATGTCTAGCCTCCCATGAAGATCTTGCTGGCAAATTCTGGCTGAGAGGTGGCACTTCTGAACTTCTTTGGTTGACACCAAAGCTTAACAGTGGTATCAGCCATAACTAAAGCAAGGAAATTAAAACTGCTTTAAGATTTCCACCACTCTGACAGCACTTAGTGAAGATTAAGCTCTAGAGAACAACATGAATCCAGGGTTGATTCTGGGTTACTCCAGGCTTGCTGCTGATGTCTCTGAGACAGACAGCAACACAACCATAACACTATTTTGAGATAAAAAATGTATATGCATTAAAATTATGGGATGCTAGAATTAGGTAGAAGATATTAAAATAACTAAATGTATCTGCTAAAACTGTAGAAATTTTGTACTAAGATCTAACCAGTTCATCCATAAAGGAGTTTACAACTTACTTGTCCTGGCTTGTTATTTGTCAAATTTTCAAAAAATATAAAGGGCTTAGAGCTAATAGCTCTAAAGTAAGAAGTAATTCATTTTGCTCCTCTGCACTCTACTTGAATTCAAATAAAGGACTCTAGTCAGCATGTAAACCAGAAGTGATATTAAACTTTTTTTTTCCTAGTTATTGAACAGCTAAGGAAAACTGACTGAACTATCATGGAACAAAGTGTTGTTTCATACAGTTTGTCTGTCCTTAGGTGCTTTGAATTCCAGAGACCTTATCTATAAGATTTTTTTATGACTCAATTCTTGATCAGCCTACATCCATTGCCAAAACAGAAACAGACTACTGAGCAGCTGACTCAAAAAATGTATCATTCCCCTTGAACAACAAGTCAAACAGTTTGTGGTTTTTTGTCTGGTTGTGATGCAATACCTGGACATCTATACAGCTTTCTTGCCTGTGCAATATCTCCTTTACTTAGACGAGTACGTTGGCCAATGGCAGGACGTATACCATTATCATCACGGGAAGGGAGAATGGTATCCAGAAACATGCCCCTAAAAAAAATAAAAATAAAAATAGACCCCAAAACCCCCTATCAGGTTTCTGTCATTAAACTGAGTTTCAAGACTGTATAATGTTGCTTTTTAAATCTGGTCTTTACATTTGACATAAACAAGAGGGTAAAATGCAGAACTTTAAATATAGAAAACAAGCCATAAAATTTTTCAGGTTGGTGAACTTTATGCAAAGTTACTAAAAAAAGAATCTTCTTTCAGTGCATCAATTAACATATCATTTTTAATGTTTCTGCTAGGCAAGAGGAGGGAAATCTCTTATTACTATTAAAACTACACAGGCAAAAGACACTGCTGTTAAGTTCTTGCTATATTGAATAAAATAATTATAAAATTACATAAAAATACATAAATTAGTCCCTATCACAAAAATCTTAATCACAAAGTTCCTATTTCTAACAAAGTATTTATGGGAAGTCCTAAATTCTGAATTATACATGTAAGAGCAGGTAAATTCACACTTGCCAATCATTCTTCTTTCTGGTGTTACAACAGATCTAACTCTAGCTGCTGCTGCTGCTTTTGAAACAGAAATGCTTACTTACCAGCCTCTATTTGCTTTTCAATAAAACTATATCAACTTACCATATGTGATTTTAATAACATTAACCCTAAATGACAAGACATTATAAAGCAGCGCACTTCTATTATCATGTTACAGAACTTGAAAAGCCCTCAAATCCCATAAAATAGATTTTAATAGAAGAATACGTTTCTATGTTCTCTTATTCTTTAATTATTTTATACTCTTTTATACTTTAGGGTTTTTATTGGAAAGTAAAACCATTACTTTTAGACATAACAGAGGTCCAAAAATAAATGAACACTAAAGACCTTTGTATTTAAGAATACCATTTATAAATAAATAGATCTTTTTAAATTATAATAAATTAAGCATTTTGAGTATTGCAAACACATACTACTCTCTTTATCCAGTTAGATTTTATGTGACATCACTAGAAATTTCGCAAAGAAAAAGTCATCTCAGGATGTTACCCTAATCAGTGAAATAAACTACTTATGGCATTAATCAGTTTCTAGAAATAAGGCACATTATTCTTTAGAAAGTGTTTGCATCTATAAATTATAATTTTGTTTTCCACTCAATTTCAGTACGACCTGAAATTGATGTTCTTCATACTTTGTAAAACTGTGAAAACAATCCTCTCTTACATGCTTCACAACTTGAATAAGGGAACAAAGAATACATGCACAAAATCATTGTGTACTTTATGATTGTGATTTCGACCACTTATCCATGTGAGCAATGTCTAACAAACAGCTGGCAATATGCCACACTGTGCATGACTCATGCTTCAAAGATGAATTTATGTATATCAGTATCTGACCTCAAGGGTTTGCTGGCTGTTTTTAAACAGTATGAAGTAACAGCCTCTTGTACCTTGGGGCAGGACATGCCTACTCATGGCACTATCAGTTTTTGCCAGCTTGGAAAGTGGTGAGAACAGGGCCAACAAATCAAATTACCTTGATATTTTCATTGCCCTAGGGCTCTGGGGGAAACCATCTTGTTCAATTACTCAATTTTATATAGGTTCTTCTAATCTATTCCTTAAGGTAATGGTATGTGTAACTGGATTAAGCAATGTGGCTAATATTTACCTCATATGGCTCATCCCCATGGTCTTCCAGGGGTGAATGATGTGTATGCTGAGTAATACAGCCTTTGGTCAGATTTTTTGTAAATTATATTCAGGAGAACAAGCCTAACAAATTTGCAAAGACTTGGGAGTTTTCTGGCAGTCTTCAGTTTATTTCAAAGTGTCAAGAATGCCTAGTATTTTTTGCCTTAAAATGCATGAATTGAAAAAAACAAAACAAAACAAACAAACACAAAAAACCCCACAAACCCAAACAAACAAAAAAAAAAACACCAATAAAAACCAAAACACTTAGCACATAACTTTTCATACTAGCATTTTTGTTGGGTATTTTTGGAGGTTTCTTTTAATTTTATGTTAATCTGATATTTTTAGAGAATAATTAGCAGAAGTGTAAATTGGCATGAAATATAATAAGAGACTGGGTGAAAGACTTCTCCACTTATTCTCGAGTAGGGCTGGACTATGGGAACAGCTCACTGTACAGCTCCCCACAACCCTACAGCATTTCAGGGAGAGCCCCACAAGAGCTACCGTGGAGTCGAGAACGGATCAGCCTTCAACAGGACAAAGCAAAACAAGCAGAACTCTTTATTGTAAGGTTTTGGTGACAGTAACAATCTGCACAGACAACAGAGAAGAGGCTGCAGCCTCTGTTAGAAATGGTGGACTGCTGTCCTTAGCAAAGGCTGTGGCTTGTGTGGTAGATGTCTGAATACCACAGTGTATTCTAACTGCATAATCCATAGTTATGAAACAATATGCATCAAAGAAAACTTCTCTTTTTGAGAACGGATCATGTTACTATGAACATTCCTAACGATTTCACTCATTTGATCTTTCTAAATTCAAACGTTTGTGGACACAGAAAGAAAGTGAGTATTATGTAAAGTGATGTTTCCAGATTATCTTGTCTGAAAATCTAAAGAACTGAAGCAGGATGAATAGGCTGCTTTGAAACTGAACAGAAAAGAAACGTGTTTTAAAATATAATTAAATTATTTTGACTTAAAATAAACAAGCTGTCCTTTGACTGCTGTAAGAATACTATATCGCAAGGGACCTTTTAAGTGATTTCAAAATACTTCAAAAAGCATAGTTCTTAGCATTCACAGAGAAGAATAGAATTAAAAGTCAAAAGGTATAACCTGAGACTCCAACCTTGAGAAGGTGTTCCTGGCATAGTGCATAATGCTGTCAAAGTCGTATGGTTCCCCAAGGGAGTTCACCTCTCCAGGCTCCATCTTCAAAAAGTTATATTCCTGACCTACAAATGATTGATAAGTAGAGATTCTTTAATATCTTCTGTAAAGAAAAAACAAACAGGAAAAGAAAAACAACAAAGATCCTAACCTAATTACTCACTGACATTCATAAATGTTTGCCATTTGGGAGTAACTGTGTGACTTTATTATGCCCTCTTAACCCAGAGGGCAATCGTCTTCTGAAATACACAAAAATTGCTGTATTTGGCATTTAGAAAGACTAATCTCATTCAGCCAGCACATAAAGGTCCCACCCACTGTTTTGCCCTTCATGTAGAATCTACAGAAAATGCTGGTTGGATTCTTAATTCCAGCAATAAAATTATTTTGACAGCAAAGACTCCAGAAGAACCCTCCTCACTGTAGACTCATTAGACTGGATACTAAGGGTCTAACTGGATACTAAAACCAATACTAAACCACTGGATACTGGAAACTGCTTCAGCAAAGGCTACTCTCTGAGCCTCCATATAATACAGACAATACACAAAGTCAAATTTTTGAAAGCTAGCTGTTGCAATTGAACAAAAGCAAAAGAGGAACAAAAGATTTATACTTAGTTCATAATTACAGAGCATAAGTTCTTTGTCTTCATCAGTATATTAGAGATACAAAGCACCTTCTAACTCCAGTTCATATTCCCATTGAAGTCTTGCGAAAACAAACTGGAGTGACATTAATATTATTAACCAATATATTTTGCATAATATAAAAAACCACAGTTGTCTCAGTGGTCATGGCTTCTTGATCCCATTTAGTGATTCTCAAGCTCATGCAACACCACAAGAAGTGATTTCAGTCAGAAACTAGAGAGACAACTGAAAGGGTGAGCAGGAGGCTGAGGATTTTTTGCTGTCACAGAAAAAAAAAAAAGGGGAAGAGCACTTATGGCATCTACACAAGTCAATAACACAGAGAGAACAGAAAGAAGGCTCAAATGTGCACGCCCTTTCAGGACTTCAGAGACTTATGGGACTGTGTATCAGCTTACAGTCTCCTTTGAAGTCCTAGATGAAGTGGTATCTCAAATTAATTAATATATTCCATTGCATCACAAATCTATTTTGTTTTAAAATATTTTCTGTAGGAACAGACAAACACTCTAAGCTATCACTGGACAATTTCTGATTTCACCCCTTTTTGAGCAGAGAATTCCTGTAAGTCAAAATCAGTGTTTCTCAAAAACCATACACATTTATGAACATTGCAAATAAAACATGCCTAATTCCCTCTCATCTTGCCTACCCAACACAAGTGAGGGTACAACAAGTAGAGTGACAGAGATGACAGTCACAGGTTAAAAGTTCTTGCTTTGTCTCAAAAACACTGACTAAAGCTGCAAGCTTTAGAAAGCGACGTGAGTAACGTGTAAACTGCAGGAACTGGGCCTTTCTGTCACAGACTTAAAGTCCTCAGCTTACCTCCCAAGTCTAAGCCTCTTGGGCAGTTGAAAGCTATTGGCATATTTTTACTTACCACTCCGTAAAGACTACAAAAGAAATGCCCTTTCTCAAGCACAGAAACCTGACTTTTAAAGGGCCTTAAAGAGCAGTGGTTTTCTTCAAAATTTTTGATCATGATTATTAATTTGCTCCTTCTAGCCTTCTATTTAACAGCTTGCTATTTGGCCAGACCTTTGGAAAATATTATATTTTAACTGTAGTATTTTATTTGTGAGTCAACTTGAGATCAGTCAAGCTAAGAAGAATAGAAGGCAAAAAGGCTCATTTCTATTCAGCATTTACTTTTAATAGAGTTGAGCAGATTAAGGAAACACCAAAAATAAGCAGACAATTTTCTTTTTCCAAAATGCTTATCAGAATATCTCACCAGGCTGGATGTTTTCTCTAATGATGGTGACATGGTCATCACGGTCTGGTCGTGTATGTTCATGCCAAAAACCTATCACATGACCCAATTCATGGACAACTATGCCAAATTTATCACAGTTCTTGCCGATAGATATAGCCTGAGGACCATTTCCCCTTCGACCCACATAAGAACAGCACCTGTAATTAAAACACAAGCGAAGATAAACATTTTCATACATATCTCGACAAACCACATAGCAAATTCAGTTAAAACTTCAGAAAATAACATATAAAGATTCAGTAGAATAATGTACAATGTCATTTTGGCAGTCTCACAAATCTGGACCTTGTTCAAAAACAACTTATTATTCAAAATACCTAATAAGGGACACGTGAATGGAGTTTTTTATTATTATTCACGGTATTCTTAAAAGACATTAGCTATGAATAACTGTTGTTAATCTGTCTGTTACAGAATGACACAGGAACTTCTTTTCTTCTAAAGAATCAATAAAAATAAAATTGACTGGAAGTACTATATCACCCATTCATTTTCACTGCTTTCTTGCCCTGACACTTCTGTTTTTTTGTAAGAGGAACCTCAGTCACAGAAAGTTATATTTTCACAAGAAAAAACCAACATAGCCCAAAAAAACTCAAAAACCTACTTTGCAACTGCTCTCATGTTCGATTTCTGTTCCACTGCACTTCCATGATAAAATTTCGAATGCAAACTCATGGAACAAAGATGCCCTTTTAAGCATTCATACCATCAGCATTTTTCTGAGATATCTCCTTTTTCCTTAGAAAAAGAAGTCAGCTGACTATGGTAGCGTAAGGAAAGAAAGGAGAATAAAGCAAATCCTATGAAATGGAACACAATTTCAGGTTTCATAAGCTTTTCTCTGGCACCTTTGAAGACATTAAATATTTCAAGCCAGCAAAGCATTATATTCCCTAATAGAAGCCTGATTTCCCATCTCTTCTCTGTGAATTCTGCAGTCTGTCAGGTGAAATGGAATTGTATTGACTAGAGCACCTCCACTCTTTCCCTTCTCCTTTTTTTCTGTAACATGAAGTATGAAGACATACTTCTGACGCAGCATTTACATGGCAGGATACATTTGGTCCTTGAGGAGGTCAATGTTAGTGTGGAGAATGATCCTATCCTTCAGGATAGGATGCCTCCTTGGGCAATAAAGTAAGAGCAGCTGCAGGAGCAATACTGATAGCATGTTAAATTCTACATGCAACATTTGCTTGTTTCCCCTTTTCAGGTTTTGTGGTGCTAAACAGACTTTTCACTTGGTTAGCTGTCTGGTCTTAGTTAGTTCTGGTTAGTCTTCTTCATTGAATTTTGTCAGTGTTTAATACAACTAAAATTTTTAAAATATGGGTACTGGAGAAGTAGAACCCTGGCATTTTAGCTTACAATATCTGTTCTCAGTAAGCATATACTGTTTTTGCAGTAATAGTTAAAATCATGGATATATGTACACCAAAAAAAAAAAATTATCTTAAAATCAAAAAGGCCACACAAGTTACTTTATAGAGGAAAATATTACTACAACAGTCTAGCAGAGTTGCTAGAGAAAATTACTGTTGGGAAAAATTATTGTTCACTTCACAATCATTCTTTGCTATCTCAACTGCTTCTCAAGTAGTTCTCAAGTAGCAGTAGTCCTCTACCCTTAATATGAGTTAACTCTTTTCTTTCTGCTTTAGATAGTTCCAAGGATAGGTATGAAACAACTTTTTAGGTCAAAGCACTGAATTATGCTCAGTACTTCAGCTAGAGTTATGCAACACCATGTTTAATTTATTTCTTAAAGTGTCTTCCCTTAATAGCTCATTTCAAGGTAAATAAAAACAATGGCAATTTAGATAATTTAGATTCCCTGCTATAATTCTGTGCCATCATCAATGCTGCAGGTTTACAGACTACTGTTCTACATCACAGTAAAAGGAAATAAAGAACACCTGTGTATTTCTGGTCTGTGTATTTCCCTCATTGAATATAAACAGTATTAACACAAAATTACTATTTACAATATTATATAGAAATATTACTATAAACACTGATAGAATAATAGCAATGGATGTAGGGTCTGTCTGTAATCTAGCAAGCAGTGAGTAAAGACGGATGATCCCTTCCCTTGAGTCACCAGCTGCACTTCTGTTCACACAGCCTTGGATGCTTTCAGTAGCCTTTGTTGCCTGGGCCCATGGCTGGTTTCTGCTCAGCTCGTTCCCCATAGCCTTCTCCACAGAGCTTTTCCCAGCCCAGCCGTGCCTGGCCTATCTTGCTCCTCCTTCCCAGGTGCAGGGCTTTGAGTTTGCCCTTGTTGAACTTCATACAGTCGCTGCTGGTCAGTTCCTCCAGCCTGCCTGGGGCCTTTTGGGTAGCAGCTCTACCACCGAGCCTATCATCTGCCCCCCTTCCCCACTTGGTGTCATCATCAAAGCTGATGAGAGCACGAACCGTCACCTCATCATGGGTCATTGATAATGATGTTAAAAAGGACAGGTTAAAGGATAAGCCCCTGTGATAGTGCACTTTCAGTCACAGTTTTACTACAGCCCTCCAAGCTCAACTACACAACCAATTTTAACCTATTTAGTTTTCCATTCACCTATAATCCTGCAAAATACACCTTGGAGACTGAACAGATTTAAACACATTTGTTTAAATCCTGGAATTTAATTTGCAATTTAAAATCTTTATGATCTGAATACAACACACGGTTGCAGTGCAAGAGATTGATAAGAATAAAGTTAGGATAACCAATATAATTATGAAAAGGCACAATGAATCCTTTTGTTTAAAATAGTCTAAACACTTCTGCAGAGTCTTCATGTTTACCACTGTGTGCAAACTCTTGAGAGGAAAAATTGCAATGCAGAACTAAAGAACATTAATCATAAAGAACATTAATTTATGGCTCTAAAAAAATCAAGGTTTTTGAGACTTTAAGTTGTAGAACATTTAACACATTATCAATAGTTTTAACATGCTTATGTTGCTGAATTCATATACACTACATACTTCAGCTGGCAAAAACATATTTGGTGGCTTAAAAATTTCCATATGTATCCCATATAATTATTACACAGGATACTTTGGAGATGAATAGAAAAAAAAATTCTAAATAATAACCTCTATGATGTCTCCTGCTCTGCTTTTATTGACACTATTCATAACAAGGGTAAAAGAATAAAGCAAGAATTGAACTACAGTCTATTTCTTCCTGTCCTTTTTACTTCTTTTAGAACAAAAGAGGGTACAAAATTTTAGGGTTCTGCACTGTATCTTGGAAAAGGTCAGCCAAGAGCTGTGTACTAATAGCAGAACAACAAAATGGCTGATACAAAACATTAAGCTATTGAGACAATTCATATATAAGAAAATATGGTAAATAAATACCTAATTAACCAAAGCATCAAATACAATTAAAAATACCAGGAAGATGAAAACGGAGGTGTTTCAGATCAACTCTGAAAGCTATTAGTAGTATTTCATAAATCAGATAGATTTTTGGGTGTTGACAAAATAATCTGATATTTTACTACTACAGTACTAAAACACAAGAAAAGTTGTGCTTCATCAAAAGGAATTAAGTGACTAAGAGTACCTCATCAGACACATTTGAAAGATGTTTCTTTTCAGAAGAAAAAAAATTAACCCTAATTTTTTACACAGTATTTCTCTAGGTTGTCTAACACCATAAATCTAAGCCCCAATATATTGGAAATTAATTTTTTAATGCTGGCTTCCTCCAAAAAAATAAGCAGCCAGAAGAGGAGTATGGTAATTTCCTTATACTGGTTGCTTGACAGATTTCAAGTACTTCACAGAAAATATAAAGAAATTTATTGTTTCTTTACATGCCACGGAAAATTGGAATTAACACAAGTCCTAAAATAGCAGCAGCAGTGCACACTTATAGAGGGTCATTAGGGTTTGCTAGGTTGAATGTCATGTCAAGCACACCAGATTCATCCAATTAAGCTACAAGATTCTGATCACTTCAACAATTGCACTGAGAAAAAAGGTAAGGAAAACTAAAACTAAAAAATCTATGAAGTAAATTAATTTGCAATATTATGGGTTTGACCCCAAGTGTGTTTTGCAAAAGGTAAAGACCTCTCTGTACTGTATGAGCACTTGTCACACCACTTAAACTGCATCAACTGAAGCTTTTAAAGCTCATCTCTTTAATCTTTATTGCACCAGACAGCAGTTTGAGACAGTAACTATTTATGAATCTCTAATTCCATTTAATCAGTCTAGCTGATCAATGATGGTCAGCAATGAGAAATAAATGACAGAGAGAAAGTGAAATGACTGGAGCAACATATTCATTCTCTTACATTAATACAAAGGAAGAAAGAATCAGGTGGGGTAAATGTTGCACTTCTTTTAAAAAGCTGCATTCTTAAGAATGTGATAATATAAAAATCATCATAGACCACAACATCACCTTGTCATGGCAGTGACTGTATGAAGTTGTGGATGAAAAACTGCAGAATTTCATAAGCATAGTAGGACTGCAAATCATCACCTACATTACACAAAGGAAGAAAAAGAGGTTCACAAAATTCCCAAATAAAATCGCACTCTGGAAGCAGAGTTTTTTTTCTTGATGAAAATATCTCTTTCAATCACAAACATTACTCCATCCGTACAAAGGAAATATTGGCTATGACCTGGCTTGATGAATTTGCTTTTTGCCAGGGATCAAGATACAATCAATCATGGATACTAAATGCTCTGATTCACTGCCCTAAGAGGACCTATTGTGATGGCAGAAGTGGCTTACTGCTTCTTTACCTGCTCAGTGGAGATATCTACTCCAATATTATAACAACCAACCAACAGAGCCCATCCTCAGCTAACAGCTGCCCATCCCAGTGTATTAACATAAACCATCCCTCAGAGAGTTAATGCACTGTGCTTTAGACTATGGTAACCAGTCACCTGTCCCTTGCTCACAAACATCCTGCAGGCCACGTCACAGCCAGCAGGGAAGCTATGCCAGCTGCTTTGGTCAGGAGGAGTGCCAGATGCCAGGGTTAATCAACACCTGAGAGCATGAGTCAGCCTTCCCCAGTGCTCAGATTATTTAGCACAACTCTGATTTCTTCTCATTTCCTAAAAATTACAGAGCAACTTTCGTAACACGTTCTTTAGCTAAAGAATGCTGCTAAATGCATCTCAGGCAATGATTTTACCTGTTTTGCAAACTTGCCTGCTATGCCTATTCAATTTATTATATACTATATGCCTATGCAATATAACAAATTCAAAAGAGGTTAAAACATTCAGAAGCTGTTCAGTCTCCAATGTTTGGAGAAGCACATGAAACAAAAACCAAATCTCTATCTCAGATGTATTTGTCAGATACTTGTAAAGGGGATACAATATTGATTGCAATGTCATCTAAATTTTGTCATAAAAAGTGCTTAAGTCTTCCAGTAGAGAACAAAAATTTCCACTAATTGAGATCAAAGGCTTGCTGAGCTACCAGAACAATATGACTATAGTTGTGCTTTTGTTTTCTTTTTTTTTTTTGTTTCACTATATAAAAAGAAGCTTGATCTTGTACTCAGTGATATTTATTAAGAGCACGTGACTTGAGGCCATCCCACTTTGCTGACCCTTTTTTAGTTTTGCATACAGAGAAGTACACTGAGTGCGTCTTCAGGCACTTTCAATTTGATAGGAAAAAACATAAGGATAGAGAAGCAGTAGTGAACAAAGGGTATTTTAAATCTGTTACCAGTTAGAGTTTTATTTGCCCTAATCAACTAGATGCATAAATATTTGTTGTAATAGATATTAAAGGCAGTATACACTGCTTGCTTGGTAGAAGAATCAAAAACATCTTAATACTATAATCTTATTCTCACATCTAGAGCTCGTGGATACAAATGACTATCTGTAATTACAAAATTTCTAAGTTAGTGATTCAGCTGTACTACAAAACTTTATTTCAACAATAAGTTATTATAAAACTCAGGTTAAATAAACCCATGGTGATAAATAATTACAGTTTAAGACTTCAGCAGAATAAATTATTCTGATGGGAAGGAGGGATCCAGCTTTAAGGTTTTTGACATTTTTCCAAACAAGCTGTCCATAAGCAAATCAGAGAAGTCTGATACCAAGAGAGGTATAAAGGTAGCTGGAATATTATAATAAGTTAAGATAGAGAAGATGCCTTTTAAACTTGTAGTCTGAGAAAAGACTGCTAAACACCATGAAGACAAGGCTGGAACTCATAGCAACTTTAAGATGAGATCTGGAAAGGTAAATATGAAATTATTTGATGTCCTAAGATGTGCAAATCGTGGTACACACTGGAACCAATGATGGAGTGTCAGTGCTGCAAAAAGAGCTCTGGCCCTTGTTTGGAGTCACATTCCAGCTGACCACACATTGAACATGGCAGCTGTTGAGAAACAGGGAGCCATCATGCTTAGGTACCTAAAGGGAAGGAACGACTGTAAGATACATGAATATCTCTCGAACTGGCTCAGCAGAAGTAATGACTCATCTGGACAAACATGCCCTAGTTATGGGGTCCTATATTTCAAGAAAGATGTGAATTAGTTGAAAAGAATCTCAAAGAGCAAACCAGTGTGATCAAAGGCCTCAAAACCACTATTTATCAGGAAAGATTAAATTAATTAGGTGTTTTCTAGGCCCAAAAGAAAATTGAACTGAGGGTGGACATAATAAAAGTCTCAAATTATGTAACAGATCCCTTTGAAAAGAAAATAATTTTCTATGGCCATAGTGAGCAGAAAAAACAAGTTAACATACTTCAACTGCAGTGAGAAACAGCTGTTTTAGGTCTGACCCAAAAATACTGCCCTCAACTTCCTATATTTCTATATTCCTATATTACAGATGCTGAAGAAATACAATTCCTAGCAGGCTGTGAAATATTCATTTTTGCAGGTTTTTAGAAACCAGTTAGACAAGCACGTATCAGCAATTACTTAGGTATAGCTCTTTCTGTCTTAAGAATATATTCGCCATCTTTCTGAGATTCCTTGCAGTCCTATGGGACTTAAAAATCAAAACTTATCTCTTGTTCACTGATGATATGTAACCACTCAACTTTAGCAAGGTCATGTATCTCTGATAACCAGCTGTTATGTTTCAAATATGCTTTTTCCATCACTGCCCTTCTGGGATGATCTTCCCATGAACTGTTTCAAGATGTAATACATTACACTCCAAACTATCCTTAATGTTTACAATGGCTCAGTAACACTTCCCTTGCTAGTGTGCTAATGCTGTCCTATGAGACATCTGCAGATACAGCCACCTGAATTTTCACATGTGTGACTTTGTTTCATTAAATGTGTTATGGTTTGACTGTGCACTCTTTGGGCCAGGGTTTATCATGTAGTTTTTTATTTCAACAGTCCTAAGTACAATAAAATCTCCGTCATCTGAGAATGTTAGCTGCCATGGTACTACAAACAATAATGACACAATGTGCTAACAAAACAACACAGCAGGGTGCTATGGGAAAGAACTGAGATTAATTTTAACACGACTGGTCATGTAGCGCAGAAAGTGTTTGCAGTTGGTTTGGTGTCACTTTAGTCTGGGCTCTTTCCGTGGAAAATCCTGCATCAGCACTGTATGCTGGGGGTAGTGCACAGTGTTCACCCGGAGAATACAGGCTCTGATTTATCTGGATCTTCCTGAAACCACTTTTGGGGAAAAAAAAAAAAAAAAGGTAAAAAAATAAAAAAAAATAATAAAAAAACTTCATTGCCCCTTCTGTTGGCCTGGTTTTCTTTCATCACTGATGGACTGTTAATAGCCACACTCTTCTTTGTTTTTATTTCAAACATGTTACAGACTTTGTAAGTTATTTGTATTTTGCAAAGTATCCACCAATAAAACAACCTTACTGGTAAAGGAAAATGTTGACTTTAAAAGTAGATACTAAGTATATTCCAACCTTCTGGTTAAAACTGGTTATAATCCAGCCTTCCCCCTACAGTGATTTGATCTCATGAAGCATCCACCAGCCTAAGGAACAGTTCTTTGGCTGGAGAGATTTTCTGTCATTTGGCTTTGAGTATTTTGAAGTTGTAGAATTTACATTTGGCAGATATCTTCATACTTCTCTTTCTAAAGTGACTGAAACCACTTATATCTTTCACACTGTTCTGTTTAAATATACATTGCTTTCTGCCTCCGTGAGCACAAGGGAACCATCCCAATTGTTTTTTGCTTCCCATTTCTCTTCCAGCTGTGTGTCCCTGAGTCCCATCTTATGGGTGAATCCTATCTTAACTAAAATATTAGCCATGCTGGCTCAGAACAAAAGTCTGTTTCATTTGGCACTGTTTCTAACAGGGGTCTACAGCATACCTACAGTGGCGTAAGGACATGACAGGCAACCATAGAATAAGCTCCTCAATTGCAAGGATCTGCAGCTCAGAGACTTTCAGAGGCAAAGGTGATCCCTTTCTAAAATAGCCTAGGACTGGATTTTATTATGTTGTCCTATGCCTTAAGAAGAATGTTATGGGTACTTTAAACAGATAATTCTACATGTAATTTTACAGGCTAGAAATTAAATACATTCAGGATCATTTCTACAATGCAAGGAGGTTCCAAAACTTCTTTTCACTTCCCTATCCTATTGCAGTTCAAAAGTAGGCATGCAAAGGGTTCTGTGATCAAGAAGTCAGTAAGACAGAGAGCTGTTCACTGGGGATCCTACAACCCAAATAGGAGGTGACTGTCAGAAGTACAGAATCGACACAGGTAGTGTGTGCTCTTCTTGGGAAATACACATGGTGCACTCAGGAAGTTCACTGACTGCTATATAAAATAAGTGATTCTGAGTGGAATGAATAACAAATATAGCTGACTGACGCATTCATGAACAGTAATATCTGAAGATGGAACATGGTGATTAATGGAGAGCTGAATCTATGAGTAATAAAACCTGTTCTGTTCACTTTTACACATCAGTGAGCTAGAAAAAGGAATTTGCAAAATGGTCATGAATTTGGTGGTTAAACAAATCTGGGCAAGCGTAGTCTAGCAATATGAGAGATAAAACTACAGTTAACAACAATTAAGGTGGAAAGAGGATACCGGATAGTAGTCCATACATAATTCACCAATGACATGGAGAAAGCAAAGAGTAAACAAATGATAAACCTGTAATACCTTTAGAACAACACATATAAATATTAGGAGCACGACAGAAAACCAAACATAGAAGTCTCGTATCTTGATATATATAGCAAGATCATTTTATCTAGAAATAGACAAAAGAGGTGTAACTTCACAAAGTTACTGCACATACTGTTTTCAATGAACTTAAAAGTCAGGCAGAACACGGATATTATTTAAATGCAGTAACTATTGATTTGCCTGTGAAGAATATATTCCCTTATAAGTGCAAAGCTGAGAAACATGGCGAAACGTTGGAAGCACAAGTATCTGTTACCACACACTCACACTTACCCACATGGTCTGTATGTAAATACAATATAGCTTTCCTCATCGCTTCGTTCGATAAACGTAACGCACGTGTACTTTTCCCAGTGCCGCATAGCCTGTTTGAACATGGCGCGCTGGGTGCCTGGAGGGACAATTGTACAAGATGAAAATAAGAGACTTTTCTAACTGCATCTTCCTCCTTACAATTGATACCAGGAATATAGGCCTGGAAGGAGTCAGTGAATCATGAAGCCCTGTGTGTCCCAGCAGTCCCATGTACTGCCAGATTCCAATTAAAGGCATACTCAGACCACCATCTCATCATACCATATGTGCCTGCAAGGAAACTAATACTGCCTGACACACTCTAGTAAATATAAAACCTGCAGTAAAAACCACAACTATATTACACCAGAGGAAGACAGAAGAAATACAGTGTTGCTTATGTGCCTGCATCAAGCATAATATTTGCTAAGCAACTTCCCAGATGAACATCAAGTGAACCACCTTGAGGGGAAAAATAAAAGAAAGGAAAAAAAAAGAAAACTGAGGAACCTGGATTCTAGCTATCAAACAGAAAGGGGGGAAAAAAAATCCTACAGCCTTCCACTCTGGAGACCAGTTTAGTCTAACCCATGTAAATAGGCATACCAGTCGAAGTGTTTGATTTAAATAAGGCTGACCTCAACAGGGACAAGTCTCTTCTTCTTTGCATCAAAATCTTTCAGAAAACAAATGATGTACCACAAGTGGAAAATTAAGAATTTCGTAAAATGCTAAGCACACGTAGACACTAGTTTTAAAAATGAGAAACACATTCAGAAAAGGTCAGAGCTATACTCTACATGCAGATGCAGCCAGGCCAGCTCTCAGCACAGAACACAAAGCCAGCTAGTACAGAGTACTTCAGATAGCATAGCAATGTAATTTCATTGCCTGACAAAAGACAAAGTTTATTGACATAGGGGCAGTATCTGAGAATATAACTGTATTGCTTCAAAAAGAACATCATTATTTGGCAAGAATTTGCTAACAGAAATACATTAATCTTGTAGGTTACAGATTAGAATAATTAAAAAAATTCAAATATTTTTTAAACTTTAAGATGACAAAACCTCAAAGTTTGTAAAAATGGCAAGTTCAAATCATATCTGACTCTAAAAATTAAAGGTTATTCCATCCGATCTTGCCCTTTTCCTTTATCTTTAAGCAAGGTTTTCCAAGCTTTAGAATTTATCTTTCTTTATGAAAAAGGTAAAATGTTTAATCTGGTATGCTTTCATTTAGCTTACTATGATTATTTCAGAAGGTAGTAATCCTAAAGCAAAGGTCACATTTGGTATAGTACTATGTGAATTCACAAACTGGAAGTTTGACTGTAGATGTCAGTTTGAAAGGAATGAATGGTTTCTCCATATACACAAAATGTGTGAGCATTTGCATGTTTCTTTTGGTTCCCTGTATTATCATGCACAGTAAATAAGATGTTATTACATATTTTTTCCCATTATATTTGGGGTTTTTTTTCTCCATTCTCTTTAAAATTATCTCTTACATTCACATTGATATTGATCCATTTACATTTTTAAGAGATAACAAATGTTTTAAACTTTTTCTACAGTTCTCTGCCAAGAATTCTACATATAGTGTAGCCAGTCTTTCTTCTTGTCATATATAACGTCTGTGTGTACCCATCTGAAAACCAAACTGAGGAATGACAAAACACATTTGATACAGTTTGTTGAGTGAAATCAGTTTAGCAGAATACATGTCACACCAGTTGAATTAAATATATACTTGTGCCAAATATCCTGCATTAAAAAAAAAAACCTCTCAACAATCAGATCTCTTGACATTCTGTTACTTTGGTTCTTTGAAACAAACACACAACAGGAAATATTAGGCAAAGAAAAGGAGCCTTCCCTCTCTAAGATGTAGTTATATATTTTTATTATGTAAAATATAAAGAATTTTATATTTTTTATATAAAATATAAAATATTTTATATAAATATATAATAGTTTTCAAATATATAATAGTTTTCAAAGGCAACTTTGAAAACTATTAATTATGAGTAAGATTTTCAAAACAGATATACTTCAGGCCAGTTCCAGCAGAAACCCTTCTTTTGACTTTCATAGCATGATTTTATTTCTAAAAATTAATAGGGAAAAAAAAAAGAAAGAAGAAAGCAATTTAAAAAAATCATATTTTCTCTTTCCATCCAAAGCATAAAGCTTACCAGTGAAATTTCCACCTATTACATATGGAATGACACCCCCTGGCCATATTCTTTCTGTTCGTGACGTAGCAGCTCTGGGAAATCGGTTTTTCTCATTTTTCCCTGAGAATTTTGCAGTAGTTCTTCCTTTAGATGTATTATTTTGCTCAAAACCTGTAATGATAATTAAAGTACTGAATGAGATCACATGCACACACACACTCAAATAGAGAACAATTATTTTCCAGCAGGTCAAACTCTGATTATTTCTTTATGTCTCTTAAAAGTAGGACATTGCTGTTATGTGACAACCTATCATTAATTAGTTTTCTGAGAAAGACTTGAAATAAGTCTGACTCTTTTGGAACCCTATGGATAAGAATTACTCATGGCTGGAGTTTCTTTACAAGAGAAAAAAAATATCTACCATTCTCAGGGATATTACCACCATTGATTCCATTACAGTTAAATCTTTCTAAATCAGCTGAAATCCATGGTGACAACAGAAAAGGATAAGGATAGTTGTAATGGATGTCAGCAGATAGTGAGACAAGGACTTGCACACCAGAACAGGTGCTTCTTCTGAAGCAATTTTTAGGTTCATAAAAAACAGATCCCTTGAAAGGCGATCAGCAAATCCTACTCAGTGCAGTTGAAATCTTACTCCTCATCGAAGAATACACTTGCCCTCTGTGAGAATCCCCTGTGATACCAGAGGCACCAAAGTGTTAATGACTGTGTCAGAATCAGGAAGGATTCCAGGGCAGGATCATGGTAAGGAACCTTGGCAAAGCCCCAGGGCTGAGAGCGCAGCAAAGGGAAGAAAGGGGAGAAGCTCCAGCACAATGCAGGGAGAAAGCTCTTTGACACACAGGAAGAAAAGCCTGCCTTTGTAACAGCCTGCATGTAACAAATTATATCAGGAACGATACAGAAAATTCCAGGGATTAAAAATACACAAAACAACACACTTGGGTAAAACAAGTAACTCATCCTTGCAATTAAATAAGTGTGTTAATGGGAATTATGCAACAGTCTACACGAGAGACAGTAGGCACTTTACAGAAAAACTATTGTTACACTTAATATGCAATCAATACTGAACCACTTCAGATCTTCATATAGATGTTTTACCATTTCAAATTCTTTTTATCAGTACACTCTAGAACCCTAGGTAAGAAATTTATGCCAAATTGCATGTGAAAGATTACAAAAATTTATGCAATATTAAAATTTTAAATGTCCTCTAAAGAATGAAAAATATATATCAAAGCACATCTGCAAAGGTAGTTACTGTGCTCTGGTTAACCTTGCAAGATACATTTAGACAAAATGTGGTATGATTACAATGAAGTTTTACATATTTTCCTTTTTGAAGTTGAGGTTTCATGACATTAAAGTGGCATCCCCTTGCATGAAATACAGTGAGTCAACTCAACCAGTATTATTGGGGATTCCACTTCTATGGCCTGTTGAATTCAACTACATTTATATTGACAAGAGTATGATTAGTATAAAAATGTGCTTGTTCAGCATAACACAGTACAAATGATTCAAACACAGTATGAATCATCAGAATGCCCCACCTGGATCCAGAAAAAAAAAAGAAACAAATAAAATTAGTAGCTATGCAGCATAGCCTACCTGCAATGAAAAGACACTATACTGATATTAGCTGAGCTGATAACTGTGAACACAGCCATACAACAAAGTTAAGCAGTTTTTAATACAAGATTTAAAACTATGTATTTTAGCTTCCAGATTTGATACTGAAGTAGAACTCTAAGAAAAAGCAACAAAGAGCTAATATCTTCATTACTATTCTTGCACTATTTATTTTATTATTTGTTTATGCCAATAGCAAGACACGAAGGCTTTAAAGTGTTAAAGTACTATCATCGTTAATGTTCATGATACACTATGACATCAGGCAACTTGCTAATTTAAACAGTGAAAATACCAGAGCCAAATCTTCTTATCCTCTCTATAAGCTGATAGAGGGCACCGTGTTTTTTTGACATTCCATGCTCTCCAAAGCCACCTTTAAAAAGACAAGAAAAAAAAATTACAAAAGTTAAAAACATGGAATCTTAAACCTACAGCAACTATATAGCTGGAGAGATTTGTGGAATTTATGGAGATGCCCCATAAATTCTGCAATGTGACTTAAGGAAACTTAATATTTTTTAATTATTTGCATAAAAATTTTTCAAATATTCTTGACAATGCAATAAAAACACATTATTAGCTGAAAAATTTTCTAATATGCAATCCATTAATGTAAGTCAACATGTCTTTGTTAGTCAGGCAAGTCATGACAATTACATCATCTAATCATTATTTGCAGCTTTTTTTGTTTCTGGTGACCTTGACATCCTCAGAGCTATATTGATTGACAGCTAAAAGGCTTACCCTCACAGAAATTTCCTGAGTGCATGCCATAGTTTTCTCATTTCAAGGGAGGGAAAGAGGGAAAGCAAACAGCCCAAGTTTCATCAGAAAAAACCCACAAAAACCAAAAAATCCACAACCAAAAGAAACCAACAAAACCCCAAACACAACAATAACAAACAACAAAAAAAAACCACCTCCAACCTTTCCCCACACATACAAAAAAAAAACCCAACAAAAAACAAAACAAAAACAAAAAACACCCTCCAACAAAACTGATGGAAACTTAACCATGAAAGATTTGTTTTTCTTTTCCAACATGCAAATAGACATCAATGCACTCTAAAGGCTTTGAAACATTACAGGCTGGTGTATATTTCAGTAAGACCTTACTGGCATACAGACAGATAGATAGATAGATAATCTGTGTCATTTCAGCAATCAATGAAAATCTAAGTTATGAAGTAGTTTATTTTAACATTTACCATCTCAGTTACAGAAATAAAACCACATTTCTGTGTTTACTGCATGCAGACTGACACATATGCTCTTCACATATAAACCTTTTGTGGCTGCAAGTGCCTTTTCAATCACCAGTAAACCAGAAGCAAGAACACTGACAACACTGCACTAGTCGATTAAATCATTCAGAATTGTTCAGAAAGTTTTGTGATTCTCGTAAGTTTGTACTAGGTTGTATTTTACAATTCACAATCTGTTATAGAACAAGTGAATTTCTAAATGGCTTTTTCAATAGAAATTGTAAAAACATGGAAACAGATCATTGACACCTACAACTGCCACTAAAAAGACCTCTCCAAAATTCCTATAAAAACTTTCAACATATATGTAGAAAACACATATATTAAACAGCAACTTAAAATCATATTGCAGATGAGAAAATTCCATAAAAGGCAAGTCAGTGTGTGGTTGCTCATTGAATAACAATGTGCCTAATTATTTGGATTACACTGTCACATAGTTGCTGGCTCCCTTGAGAAAAAATTTCCAAATTTTTAAAAACATTTTAGATAGATGAGGTAATACATTCCTTTCCAACAAGTTATATGGTAACTATAGCATATACTGCATAGAATATAACATTGATCATCATTAATGTAATTGTCTCTCATGTTAACATTCAACTTATAAAATAAGGTATATAGCTAAAGATCATAAAGCAATATTAAAAAGTCCTTAAAAGCATCAACTGTCAGAAATAAGAGAAAACCTCCAAAGAATCCATTATTTACTTAAGGAAACTATCATATTATATTTCTAGGAGCAAAAAAAAAAAGAACTCTCATTTTTGTCTTACCACTACTTGTGTATTTCATTTAGTAAAAACCAAAGAAGAAAAAGAATCTCACCTAGACTAAGCTGTTTTATACGAATAATATTAGGTCTTGCCAAGCCACACAGTCTAAAAAAAGTTTTTAAAAAAATTCATATTTGCTGTGTCCTCTCACGGTTCAAAAAGGAGAAGGTAGACAGTTTAGGTAGTCTGGACTCAATATACACATAAAATTTTTATCAGCATTACCATTGTTTCTGTTTACAATGATTATGCATTTTGCTTGGACAAAATGAAAAATAAAGTAACAGAGCCATACTCTGGGAAGCTCACAGATTATCTGACCCTGCAAATCCAGACAGATAATCCTCACCAAAAGCCAAAAGGAGCAGTCACATAATGTCAATCAGGGCCTGAGAGCCTCAGGATTTTAATTAGAGTTGCAATGACAACTGTGCCTCCATCACTCCCTCTTGATAGTTTACAACCAAGCATCCAAACCTTCTACCAGATGTCACCTTCAGTTTGTGAAGACCAGCTACAGAGGATGCTCAGAAATCAAGCTTACAATTAATTGCAATTGTATCTGTAACTAACGTAAATTTTTGCTGGCTGTATTACAGACATTTTACATTCCTTTTCCAGTTGCTACCTAATATCAAGTTGTTGGCAAGCTAGTTGTTGGCAATTTGCTATTTCAGAAATTTAGGGGGAGAAAAGCACACTAGGCTGTGCAGTTTGCAAAAATAGGCTAAATTCCAAGTTTATGCATCAAGAATGCTATAAATGTAGAAAAAAAATTACACATGTGCAGTGTAAAATTGAGTTCTCCAATGCTGGTTTTAGAAAAAGCAAGAATGCTGAGGGTTTGCTGAGGGTTTACTGAGGGTAACTGTGAAGTCATCAACCTCAGGAGAGTTTGTTATCAAAAGTTTAGTCCTGCTGACCATCACAGCTGCATTGACTTGTCTTGTACAGTACAGGTAGAAAAATTTGATCCAAATATGTTAGCAATCCTTGACAGGGTGACTCGATATCCTGAATAGGATACCATCCACAAGGAGAGACAATGTGCCTAACACAAAACATGTAAGGAATGAAAAACTAAATAATATTAAATATAATTTAAAAACTGCTTAGTAATGTTTATTGTTTCTGTAGCCATTAACAAAAAAAAAAAAAAAAAGAAAAAAAAGAACAACTTACAACTATGCAGTTAAAAAGAAAAAAATAGAAAAGCAAGAAGAAAAGGGAGTCATTAGGCCAAACAAATCACTTGACTGCATTACTCTAAGGGGAAATAATCAAGCTTATTCTACATTTTGTCAACAAAACTAGTGCCTGAAATTCCTTTAAAGGCAACTGAAACTATCTGTTTGGGGGAAGTGGGGCAGGGAGACCACTGACTCTAACATTTTATTTTAAAGTCTAGATCTAGAAATGATCAACACTCTTCCTGCCTTGAAAAGACAAGTGGATTTAAAAGGAGATAAAATAATTTTTCAAGTTGTCATCAAAATAATCTTATCAGTATGTTTAACTAGGAAAAGTAAAAATATTTTTAGAGATATCAATATTGAAAGTTTAAATTTAAAATAGCTTCTTTCAGCTGAAAAATGTACTTCCACATATCAGGATTAAGTAACAGTATCTCGGTTCAGGACCATATAAAACATGCTGAATTGAAAATAATTTTTAATTATACATTTATAAATTCTCTAATAGCATTTTTTCCAGACTTTTCCTAAGTAACTCGGTTTTTTATGGTATCATAACCTGAAAGTTTACAAATGCTGTTATCACTTTACAAATCAGATCCTGAAGGCATAAATATTTTTCAACATTAGAAAGACATCCATTTAGACATGGATTATATTTTTTCTCTCTTGCAAGCACACATATTTGCACACCAATAGCATCTCTTTATCTATGCATCTGAATATCCAGCTGCCTGTGTTAATCAAATGGCAGTTCTGGCAATAGTGCATTGTATGTTAACAATAGCAAATTGGGATCTATGCTCAATTAGCTAACAGGAAAAATAAGTTAAAACAAGCTTGAAATAGCATACCTGTGTTATGGCCAAGTCTTTCATTGGAGTGCTGTGTAAGGTCAATCGTCCTGTCAATTTGAAAGATTTTTAAGTCTTCATCATCTAAGGCAATATCTCCCCAAAAGACAGCTTTAAATAAAAAAGAGCTCAATTTAATTAAAGATTTTACTTGGACAATAAAACCAATCTGAAGAATATGATGCCAATTTTACACCCTTCGGGAAGGTATATGGTAAATATACATCACATATACTTGCTTACTGATCTATATTTTTATATGAAGAAAGAAAGAAAAGTACACAGCAAAAGACAATTTGTTTCAAAATCTTACAGTCTATTTAGGTTTTATGCACATTGCCTAAATGCAATAATTTAAATGTAATGCCTATCTATTAATAATTTTTTAGTATTTTAGCATGTAATAAAGCATGTAAGTAAACACAACAAAGCATAAGACACTGAGACATGAACATTTGAACTATGAAGTCAAAAACATACACTACTAAAAACCACAACCTTTACATTTCCTAACATCTTTCTGAAATTGGGAATTACTTGAAGGAATTTTTATTATGTTTCACTAACTTTCTATATTACTTAATGTTTTCCTTACATAATTAATATGTTTATCTGTTTTCTGTTAAACTGAGTAAAAACCACCTTTATTTTTTATTTTCATCTCACAGTATTTGTACACTTTCCTTTGTAGTTAATCTCACTATCAGGAAGTTTTCAAATTCTTTACTTTTCAAAGCTCCAGTCTCTTTCAAACCTTCCTCTGGCCCTTTTGGTGGGTTTCTTTTTCTCTCCTTTCCTGTTTTCTTTCTGACTTTTGCATAGTCAACTCATCTTCCCTAAGCTGCCACTACAATGCAATGGACCATGATACAGGCCTACTTCCAAGAATTCAGGACCTATAACCTCAGTCTTTCATCTCCACCTATTTTTTGCTGAGATTTTATCCTGAGATCTCCCTGACAACTTAAACTTATCATTAAAGATGAACTTAACAGGCTGTATCCTCAATTGCTATGAATGAAGTCAATAGAGCATGTACCAATTAACATGAGCTGAAGTGGTTGTTTATTATCTTTATCCAAATTCTTCCTTTTCCCACTGCCTCTGTCAATAGCTCTATTATTTGTCCCCTCAGAGTCACAAAACCCCTACATTCAATCTTAGTGTCATCTTCAACTCCTTACACCGCTCTACAGCAAATTGTTTCCCTCACTTCATGCAACTAACCCTTGTCCAAAGTCCAGCTGTTTTCAAGTTGGTCTCTCTGGTCATCTTCCATTCAAACTTATCCTAAACATTATTGTTAACTAGTATTCTTTTTCTCTGTCTGTTCTTTATGTCACATTTTAGAGACCACTCACCAGATAATATTCTCAGTAGTTTCATGCTGCTGCAAAAATTGTTCTTCTAATTTACTGATGTTCACATTCATTAGTGTTTAAACAAATCCATATAAAAAAAGAGTTTTTACTTAAGCAAAAAGAAAGGTATTTCTAAAGAACTTCCAGATACTACATTACTTCCTCCTATCTGCCTTATTTTTCTTGAAAACAAAGCAACTAGTAGAAATCACATTGTCTATGCCTTTGGTCTGCCCTGTAAAATACTTTACAGATACCCCAGATCATCTACACTGTGTTCCAAACTGAAAGTGAAACTTTTCAATTAAGAATATAACCAACAATTTATGTCTTCCCCAAATATTTATATTCCCATGTATATAATTTTTTGCATGAGATAATATTTCTTAGAAACCACAAATATTTGAGACTATTACTGAAACTGTTCAGTGACTTCTGGTACATTTCAGAAAACTATCCTTCCAAGGGTTACTGTTTTTATGCTCATACTGGACATACTGGCTACATTATTCCTCTAGATAGCCTGTTCTCACCAGTGATGGTTTTTACCATCAGGTCAAGAGACAGAGGTAGTGGTAGCTTTAGGTGGTTTAGGGTTTTTTCCCTTAAGCTTCTAGAAAAATATACCCTCACATTATCAGGGTTTTGAATAGTGAGGAAACAAAGTCAGTAGTTTCTGTCTGACTTAATTATTTACTTCTACTTTTATAAACATCCTCTAGAGATTTCTCTTGAGTGTCATTTATAACAGGGACCACTGTATAAGCACACTGAAAGATTGCAAATTTGAACAAACAGAACAGAAAATGGTTAAAAGAAGAAACTATTAACATTTCAGTCTATAAAGACACAATGTGCCCCAGCAGAGGTCACATAGGTTGTCCACACCAATCTTGAGGAAGCGCTAAAGCTTAATAACAAACCCATTTTTCTTTCCTGGTGATATTGAGAGTTAACAAAGACTCCAAATTAACAACAGACAATGCAAAAAAATACCCCACTTATAGAAATGTAGTAGCAGAAATCATTTTTGTTTCTGTAATTCTGATGTATAAATAAAAAAACCCAAGGCAAATCAAACTTCCTACTAATAATAAAGTAGAAAAAAATTGTTGGAAAATATCCACCATAGTTTTGATGATGCATCTTTATCACTTTGACCACGTCGCTGTGGTAACATTCACTTTAAGAAGAAAATAGAAATCCTATGAATTTGTCTTATAGAAAAGTATTGAATTTGTGTGCAAATATATAAAATATATGTCAGTGTTCAGGCAATGTGTAACAGTTTTATCTGTTGGGTTAGAAAGGAAAGCAAAGGTATGCTAATTTTTTAAAATATCTGGACCATTACCTAGCTTTTGGTTAGCAACCAAGGACAAAGTTGAGTTTAAAAAGAATAAAACCACAATAATATAACAATATGACCAATAGCAGCTACGTTCTCTGATGTATTAAAGAAATATGAGTTAACACTAAAGAAAGAAATATATACAATTATTTGATTAAAAGTATAATGGAAAGTTTGGAACTTTCTTTAGGCCACTGGTTCTTTTTACTCAAGGCAATTCTATTTTGCAGAAGATGACAAACATCATGTAATGTAGAAACCTTAATAAAATGAACTCATTTGACTTTACAATAATTTAATAAGTGAAACTTTACTTTCAGTGAACTAAACTTCTCATCTTCTGAGTGAATTTCACTTTACCTAGCAAAAGAAACAACAGTTAACTGGATGCTATTTAATTTCAATATAGTCCAAGCAATTAACAACTGACAAAAAGAGGTAACTGTATTTTTAAAATTACATCTTCTTTCCAATGAAAGGACTGCACCAAATATTAATTCTGCCCTTCAAAGCCTGAAGCACAGCCCCACCTGAATTATCAAAAGAAGTAAAAAATGTATCTCCCATAACTGTTAAAAGAATCCTTTAATTTTTTGGAATGCCCGTGTAAGCGTCAAAGTACTTTGTAACTAGAGAAGACCATATTTTTATCTCCTGCCTTAACATTTTTATGGCCTGAAACTATCTGAAGAAGTCAGTCCATATACTTCATCATGTCACAAACCAATCTTAAGCTTACAGAAAGCAAGCAGAGGATTGTTTGGGTATGCAAGGCATGATGTTAAAGACTTTGTTAAAAGCATGTTAGGATTAAGAGCTTTATTAGCTCCCTCTAAGTAACGTCTGACAGAACTGACCAGTTCAGTTGCTCACCTCCCTCATTTTTCATAGACATTTAATTCATAAGTTTCATCCAGAAAATTATCAAGAGCTTGACAGTCAACCAATTAGACATGGAAAAAAAAAAGAAACAAAAAGATAGAAAAATTATTAAAGTGATTAAAACAGAACTTTAATGTACCTTTACTTATTTAAGGTTGCTTCATATTAACTCTTATCCTATCTATCCACTCAGTGATCACAATAATTTGATGTTACAGATAGCTTTTTTGTTTAACTTGAAAATGCAAGACTTAAGAAATCTATCTGTTGAAAATCTGAGACAGTATCAATTTCAGGAGAAAAGTATTTAAAATATGTTTTATTATATGAAAGTTCTTAAGAAAAAAGAAAATTGAACTTTTTGTCCAGTACTTGAAAAAGAGATACATACCCTGTCATACTAAATTTCAGACAACTTAGTTTTTATTTGCTTTATAGTTTTATATGGCCACAACATTATGCATTTACATAAATTCAAAAGAGAAAACACATGCAGCAATTTCAGAAAGGTGGACATAAAGTGGTTATGCAGTAAAGGCATGTTTTTCTGTAATAGTGGATAAGGTTTTTTGTGGAGCTGTTAAAATAGAAAAAAACACTTCACCAGCACATGCAGTTCTGCTTTCACACAACTCAAAAGCCCTCAGTCAAACACCATCTTCAAAAAGGTCTTATTAAAAAAGAGAAAACATCGCCATGTAAAGCAATTAAGTTTGCTACCTGTAAACAAGCAAACAAACAGGAGAATAAGGAGGTTGCAAAAGGTATTTTTCATCCAGAGAATCACACCTTAGTATTACCACACAAGTCATGTGAATGGAAGGGAAAAATAGGATTATATATAACACACAGATCAAGCACAGGAACTACAGCTACATTCTATACTTGTAACAGGATCTATTATTTCATGATAAATAATTAATACCCAACTGCAAACCAATCTTCACCAACCCACTCTCTTCCAAAAAGACCATCACCACAGCAAATAACCAGTGTTTTAAAAGAATAAAATATGCTACTAAGGAGAGGAAATAAAATAAATAAATTCATAAAATAATTTTCAGAAAAGAGATTAAAACTATTTTATGTTTATAGATGTACATGCATGGTATGAATCAATGAGCATATACAATGAGAAAAAAAAACATCTTTCATAACTTTCCAGAAGATGGCTGGAAATCAATGGAGCAAGAAAGAAATCATATGGTTAGAACCATGATGCTTGCAATATGTGGTGGGATGGCCCATTCTAGGATTTGAAATATCAATTAGCACGTAAGTCTGCAAAATATATACAGGAGTCTATTTCTTATAATTGCAATAACAAAACTATCTACTTCAAACTTGGTTCACAATTTGTCCTTCAATTTTCAATTTTAAAAACTCATATCATAAGCAGCCATTTTTTAATAAAGTATATTCCTGACAGCATTCATACCGTTTTTAGTAACAAAGTATAAAATGCAAGTAAATAAAGATTGCTAGTGTTTGTCTCTACAGTACAGCAGAGTAGCAGA